TTGATTCGATGATGACCTGTGGAGCTTTTGATTATAAAGTGACAAGCTTTTTATAATTAACGATACTGAATCAGTAAAGATCCAACAATGGCGATGTTGGGGAATTTTCTTCATCTCTCTCCAATGGTGTTAGCCATTTCGACTTCGAAACCATCTCTTCCAAACCAGGGCAAGCATACCAAAGCCACGCCATCGTCGTTAAAGAATTGTAAAACCATTGACGAACTCAAAATGTTTCATCTTTCGCTCACGAAGCAAGGCCTTGATGATGATGTCTCCGCTATAACTAAGCTTGTAGCACGAAGTTGTGAATTGGGTACTCGTGAAAGTTTAAGCTTTGCTAAAGAAGTGTTTGATTACTCAGAGGAGAATGGTGAATCGTATGGAACTTGTTTCATGTACAATTCTTTGATTCGAGGATATGCATCTTCTGGGTTATGTAAAGAAGCTATCTTGTTATTTATTCGAATGATGAATTCTGGGATTTCTCCAGATAAGTACACGTTTCCGTTTGGATTGAGTGCGTGTGCGAAAAGCAGAGAGAAGGCTAATGGGATTCAGATTCATGGGTTGATTGTTAAGATGGATTATGCGAAGGATTTGTTTGTGCAGAACTCGCTGGTTCATTTTTACGCTGAGTGTGGAGAGCTTGATTGTGCACGTAAGGTGTTTGATGAAATGTCTGAGAGAAATGTTGTTTCTTGGACGAGTATGATTTGTGGGTATGCGAGGCGGGAGTTTGCGAAAGACGCTGTTGATTTGTTTTTCCGGATGGTGAGAGACGAAGAGGTGACTCCTAATTCGGTTACAATGGTGTGTGTGATATCGGCTTGTGCTGAGCTTGAGGATCTTGAAACGGGTGAGAAGGTTTATGATTTTATCCGTGATTCGGGGATTGAAGTTAACGACCTTATGATTAGTGCACTGGTCGATATGTACATGAAATGCAATGCTATTGATATAGCAAAACGGCTTTTTGATGAATATGGTGCTAGTAATTTGGATTTGTGCAATGCAATGGCATCAAATTATGTACGGCAAGGATTAACAAAGGAGGCTTTAGGTGTCTTGAATCTTATGTTGGACTCTGGTATTAGACCTGATAGGATTTCGATGTTGAGTGTGATTTCATCTTGTTCACAGTTGAGGAATAACTTGTGGGGAAAGAGCTGTCATGGGTATGTACTGAGGAATGGGTTTGAATGTTGGGATAATATATGCAATGCGTTGATTGATATGTACATGAAATGTCATAGGCAAGATACTGCGTTTAGGATCTTTGATCGAATGTCGAATAAGACTGTGGTCACATGGAATTCGATAGTTGCTGGCTATATAGAGAATGGTGAGGTGGATGCAGCCTGGGAAACATTTGAAACCATGCCTGAGAAAAACATTGTTTCTTGGAACACGATCATAGGCGCGCTGGTGCAAGAAAGTATGTTTGAGGAAGCGATTGAAGTTTTCCGTTCTATGCAAAGCCAAGACAGTGTCATTGTGGATGGTGTGACAATGATGAGTATTGCATCTGCTTGTGGGCACTTGGGAGCTCTTGATTTAGCGAAATGGATATATTACTACATTGAAAAGAACGGAATTCAGCTTGATGTCAGACTTGGTACAACCTTAATAGATATGTTTTCCAGGTGTGGGGATCCCGAAAGCGCAATGTCGATTTTCAATAGTTTGACAAACAGAGATGTGTCAGCTTGGACAGCGGCTATAGGAGCAATGGCTATGGCAGGAAACGCTGAGCGAGCAATTGAGCTTTTCAATGAGATGATTGAACAAGGCTTGAAACCAGATGGAGTTGTGTTTGTTGGAGCATTGACAGCTTGCAGCCATGGTGGATTGGTCCAACAGGGTAAGGAAATCTTCAATTCAATGGAAAAGGTTCACGGAGTTTCTCCAGAAGATGTGCACTATGGATGCATGGTTGATCTGCTAGGTCGAGCAGGATTGTTAGAGGAAGCTCTGCAACTCATAAAGGACATGCCTACGGAGCCAAACGATGTGATTTGGAATTCTCTTTTAGCTGCTTGTCGTGTTCAGGGAAATGTGGAGATGGCAGCTTTTGCAGCCGAGAAGATACAAGTCTTAGCTCCAGAGAGAACTGGGAGCTATGTTCTTCTATCAAATGTCTATGCATCAGCTGGAAGATGGAACGACATGGCAAAAGTGAGACTGAGTATGAAGGAGAAAGGGTTACGTAAATCGCCAGGGACTAGTTCAATACAGATTCGAGGTAAGACCCATGAGTTCACATCAGGGGACGAGTCACACCCTGAAATGCCAAAAATAGAAGCAATGCTCGATGAAGCTAGTCAAAGAGCGAGTCACTTAGGCCATGTACCTGATCTTAGTAATGCTCTGATGGATGTAGATGAGAAAGAGAAGATCTTTATGCTTAGTCGACATAGCGAGAAACTCGCAATGGCCTTTGGGCTCATTAGCTCAAACAAAGGCACCACAATCCGAATAGTCAAGAACCTAAGAGTATGCTCTGACTGTCATTCATTTGCAAAATTTGCATCCAAAGTATACAACAGAGAAATCATTCTAAGAGACAATAACCGGTTTCATTTCATCCATCAAGGGAAGTGTTCTTGCGGTGACTTCTGGTGATAGCAGAAACAGAACTAAAAGATGAAGAGGAAGATTATGTTGAGACTGCTGCTGCTTCCTCGGTGGATGATCAAAAAGACGATCTGACGAGATCCAAGAGTTTGACGGATGACGATCTCGAAGATCTCAAGGTTGTTTAGATCTAGGCTTTGGTTTCAGCTATGACGAGATCCCTGAGCTCTGCAACACTTTACCTGCTTTAGAGCTTTACTATTCAATGAGCCAGAAGTTCTTAGACGATAAGCATAAGTCACCGGAAAATTCGTCGGTGGAAGATTCTCCGTCACCTCATCGGTCACCACCACTCTGATTGCCAATTGGAAGATCTCTAGTCCCGGTAAATATCTCATATTTTCCGTCGATTGATTCGGTGATCTAAGTTTGATCTGTTCTGATTTCAATTGTGTAATTGGTTTGTTGCTGAGTGCTAGTGTTAAACAAGAATTTCAGTGATTGGAATGGACATTGAGATATGAAGTCTAAATGTTATCAATTTGTGGTTGTTACAGGTGATAATCCGGATGATGTGAAAGCTAGGCTCAAATACTGGGCACAAGCCGTTGCCTGTACTGTCCAATTGTGCAGCTGAATGAATCATTGTCACGTCTGAACCAGGAATACTAGTGTATGAACAATATCTCTCGGGCTTAGCGGAGGAGATTTCAGAAAGGCATTGAAAGGTCTGAATTTAATTGAACATCAACAATGATTCTCACTTAATTCCATGTATGTGTAGTAGTAGTACCTAGTCTAATGATTTTTATGAACGGAAATAAAAGGTATCAGTGAATAAAAGCATCAATTTTTTTCTCATTTACATGATGGTCTCAGCATCTACAGCTTAACATCTGACATCTTAATAGCTGGATTCTTCTCCTTATGCAGTAGTGAGAGCATTCATCTTACTTAACTGGTCATGGTTCTGCGGAGGTAACTTATCTAACTGTGTCTATTAACTGAGTGTGATGCAATATGATTATCCTCTGTGCCATATACCATTTTGTGAATGATTATGTGTTAAGCTACAGTGTAAAGCTTATTACATGTGAGATATGAAAGCTTATTACAGTGTTAAGCAATGTTGAATTTCAATAGTCAAGAACCTAATGCCAAAAATAGAAGCAATGCTCGACGAAATTAGCCAAAAAGCGAGTTCCTTAGGCCATGTACCTGATCTTAGTAATGTTCTAATGGATGTAGATGAACAAGAGAAGATCTTTCTGCTTAGTCGACATAGCGAGAAGCTCGCAATGGCATATGGACTCATTAGCTCAAACAAAGGCACAACAATCCAAATAACCAAGAACCTAAGAGTATGCTCTGATTGTCATTCATTTGCAAAATTTGCATCCAAAGTATACAACAGAGAAATCATTCGCTTCTGGAGATTGCACAAACATAAGCAAAAGATGAAGAGGAAGATTCACATTTCATTGATCCGAAAACAAAGTAGATACAAAAAGATGTTCATCACAATTCAAGAACTTGTTTCAATTTTAGGAAAGATTGGGTCAATGAAAGAGTGATACATAGGATCAGATTCCCAGAGACTAGCAATGTGAAGATGAGAAGAAGTGATTCGATGAATCTCTTCAACAAGCCAGATAGTAGCTTCAGCTTTAGACGGATGAATGATAGAATCCAAACTCTGTTCTTCAGAATCAGTACCGAATCGTGATTGATCCCATCGTTGTAAGAGAACATTCGTGAGGTAATGTAGAGGCTGACCATAAAGTTGTTTCATTGAGATGCTTAAACCAACCCAGCTAGTGAACGGAATCAACGAGCCACGATTCGTCGGGATTGGTACTTGCTTCATGTAATCTTGATACATCTCTGCTCTTCTCAGCAACGAACCAGACTCAAAGACAGAGTCTTTTTTAGAAAAAATCAAAACTTTCGGGTCAAAAATTGAGTCTTTGTTAGCAAAAATCAAAACTTTCGGGTCAAAAATGGAAAAATCGAGTACCTTCATCAGCGACGTCTCTGTGAGAAGTATCGAGCGGTGAAAAGCCATCGCTGATCTCAGCATCGACGTCAGATGAACCGGAATCAGCTGATGGTCGTAGTTCCAATGTCATTGAGCTTTGCATGGTCACAAACGCGCCGTTAGATTTTGACGGCGTAGACAGTGATATGTACGACGACGATGACTTCACGAGGCTCCTTAAAATTAGGGTTTTTTAAAGAAGAAGACGAAGAGGATGACTTGTACACGTGTCAGTAAAATCGTCACTTGTCAGTTGTGGGGTAAACCAAAAAAATCTAAAATTAAATAAAATCGAACCGGGTTTGTACCCATTAACGACCCGACCCGACCCGACAGAAAGGAGCAAGCTTTAGGTCAAAAAGATTCGAACTTTGATCGGGAAAACAGAGACAAATCTGCATTAGATTCAAACGGAACAAAAATGCTCACTAAGCTTAGGATTAGTAAGCTTGTTTCGTATAGGAGAATCTTCCAACGGAGGTTTCTGGTAACGAACAACGCTTTCTCCAACACTGAGGAGGAGTCGCCGGTTGTTGCCGCAGAGTCACCGGAGCTTCCGTCTTGGATTAAAGACTTTCTATCAAACAAGCTTTCTTCTACGAGTTCGGTTTCCAAAGATGATGAAGATTTCGTTATCCCTTCTTTGGCGAATTGGGTCGAGAGCCAGAAGTTTAGTCGTGAAGAAGTTTCAAAGGGAAATGTAGTGAAGAAACCAGTGGAAGATATTGATAAAGTTTGCGACTTTTTGAATAAGAAGGACGCGTCTCATGGGGATGTTGTTAAAGAGTTGAGTGGGTGTGATGTGGTAGTTACAGAGAGTTTGGTTTTGCAAGTTTTGAGAAGGTTTAGTAATGGATGGAATCAAGCTTATGGGTTTTTCATTTGGGCAAAATCACAAACAGGTTATGTGCATTCAGGTCGGAGTTATAATGCAATGGTTGATGTGTTGGGGAAATGTAGGAATTTTGATTTGATGTGGGAATTAGTTGATGAGATGAAGAAGAGTGAAGAATCTGGGCTTGTTACGCTAGATACGATGAGTAAGGTTATGAGGAGATTGGCGAAGTCTGGGAAATATAGTGAAGCTGTTGATGCTTTTTTAGGGATGGAGAAAAGTTATGGTGTGAATACAGATACTAATGCTATGAATAGTTTGATGGATGCACTTGTGAAAGAGAATAGTATAGAGCATGCTCATGAAGTTTTTCTGAAGCTTTTTGATACAATTAAGCCGGATGCTAGGACATTCAATATTTTGATTCACGGGTTTTGTAAAGCTCGGAAATTTGATGATGCTAGGACGATGATGGATTTGATGAAGGTTACTGAGTTTAGTCCTGATGTTGTTACTTACACAAGCTTTGTGGAAGGTTATTGTAGGGAAGGAGATTTTAGGAGAGTTAATGAAATGTTGGAAGAAATGCGAGAGAACGGGTGTAATCCTAATGTTGTGACTTATACGATTGTGATGCATGCTTTGGGTAAATCTAAACAAGTATCTGAAGCTTTAGGAGTTTATGAGAAGATGAAAGAAGATGGTTGTGTTCCTGATGCTAAGTTTTATAGCTCATTGATACATATTTTGTCGAAGACTGGTAGGTTTAAGGATGCAGCTGAGATATTCGAGGACATGACGAATCAAGGAGTTCCTCGTGATGTTTTGGTCTACAATACCATGATTTCCGCTGCACTTCATCACTCACGAGATGAGATGGCTCTACGTTTGCTTAAAAGGATGGAGGATGAGGAGGAGGAATCGTGCAGTCCAAACGTTGAGACTTATGCTCCATTGCTAAAGATGTGTTGCCATAAGAAGAAAATGAAGCTACTTGGAATCCTGTTGCATCACATGTTGAAAAACGATGTCAGCATCGATGTGTCTACATATATTCTTCTCATTAGAGGGTTATGTATGAGCGGGAAAGTTGAAGAAGCTTGCTTGTTCTTCGAAGAAGCGGTACGGAAAGGAATTGTTCCTAGAGATAGCACTTGCAAAATGTTGGTAGAGGAGCTTGAGAAGAAAAATATGGCAGAAGCAAAACTCAAGATTCAGAGTTTGGTTCAATCGAAAACAATGACCGATTCTCATAGTCCTTTATCTGTTTCGTAGAGCCATGGCTCAAAAGTTTTGTTTTTTTTTCTGTTGAATGATAATCTTTTACTGTTAGATCTCAAATCATGTTTTACCTTACTAAAATGAAATGAATTTACATGGATTATGTAATGTTTGATGAATCAATTTGTCACAAGTTTACATGTCTTTGATCCGGTAGTATCCGGTTTATAAATGAGTAATCGGAACCAATTTAGAGATCATTTGAACCCGGTACGATCCGGTTTTACAAAATTTCCGGTTTAGTATAAAGCAAGAAAGGGTTTTACAAAGTCGAAGCCTTTAAAGCTTGTTTCTTCTTATTCTTCTTTGCGCCGGCGTTTCACTATCTCTCTCTAAAACCCTTTTCAAGCAAAAGCTTCCTCAATCTTCTTCGTAGTTAACAGTAAGTTCTCTTCTATTCCTTCTCAATGGGTTTGTTTTAATCTTAGTGTTCATCGTCTTACGAATCTCCAAGTAAAATAGATCGATAAACCCTAATTTTGTTCACGGTTATAATCTTAAGTTCTTAGATAAAGAATCGAACTTTGTTTTCATATAGAAGGTAACGGAACCATTTATGGTGTCGTTCGTTGCGTTGGTGACTTAAAAACCCTAGTTTCTGTGATTCGCATATTTTTTTTAACCCAAATGCTTAAAAGTCTGAATTTTTTGATTCTGAGTCAAGTTTTGTTGTTTAATTTTGAGTAGATGTCGCTGGAAGAGGATATAGTATCAGATGATGAGATGAACATGATTGATGAGGATAGTGCTACTGACTCTGAAGCCGAATCGCTTTCGGATTCGGATACAGAGAACGAAATAACGGAGAAATTGGCTGAGCCTACGAAGACTGCTGTATACAACAGAGATGGGTTGCTTGATAAACTTCAAGATATTAGCTGGCCTGAAGATGTTGATTGGACTCATAAGCTTACTGTTGAGATTGATCAGGGACAAGCTGTGGATGTGAACGATGACCTTGCGAGGGAGATGGCGTTCTATACTCAAGCTCTTGAAGGGACGAGACAAGCGTTTGGGAAACTCAATGAAATGGGTGTGAATTTCCTCAGGCCGGCGAATTACTATGCTGAGATGGTGAAATCGGATATTCATATGGAGAAAGTGAAGTCTCGGCTTTTGCATGAGAAGAAACAGATTGAGGAGTCTGAAGAGAGGAGGAAGGCTAGGGATAATAAGAGAATGGCTAAGGAAGTACAGTCTCAGAAGATGAAGGAACGTGCGAAGCAGAAGAAGGATGATATTGAGTCTGTGAAGAAGTGGAGGAAACAGAGGCAGCAGAGTGGGTTTAGTGATAAAGCGGGTGAGCCGGAACTTGATTTCGAAAGCGGAAAGAGTTTCCAGAGAGGAGGAGGTAAGAAAAGACCAGGTGTTTCTCCCGGGGATCGATCAGGAGGCAAAGGAAGGCCTACTTCGAGGATGGGCAACAAGAAGAGGGAGTTTCGGGATTCCAAGTTTGGTCATGGTGGTAGGAAGGGTTTGAGCAAGCAGAACACAGCGGAGACAACGAATGATTTCAGGGGCGGATTTCGTGGTGGAAGAGCCGGCGGAAACAAGAGGCAGAAGAGGTAAAAGGTTTGATTATCTAAACCCACTTCAAAACTACTATAAACTATTTGTCTTCTTGGTTTTTTTAAGAACGTGTATTTTGTTTTGGAAACCCTGTGGTAAGGGTTTTAGAACCAATATCTTTAGCTACAATTTTGTACTAGTGATTACTTGAATTAACAAAGGCCCTTGTGTTTTCAAAGACTCGAGATTTAAAAAGAACTTAGCTGGCAATAAGGATTCAGCTACTATAGTCAGCACTCACTGACCACTGCTTCTTGTTGAAGTCTTTGAAGTCTTCATAGTTAAACACTTGAAACATATATGATAGAAATACAACAAAACAAAGCTTAGTACATAAAAAAATATCCTGAAACAACAAGTAGCAACCCTCACAAGTTTTATTTTGGAACCGGAACCAGACTTGGAACATATACATAACCGCAGACAAAAGGCCTATCATCGCTACGCAAATCACATCGTCCTGCATCAACTTGTTTTTTAACCATCCCATCTTTACTAATCTCGTAAACGCTAACGGAAACATCATCATCTGTTTCATCTTCAGTCTCTTTCTCACACCATACCATGATACTATCGTTCTTGTCAATGAAATAACTTGGATGAGCGAGATCTTGATCGGTATGTAACATCGGGAGATCGAGACTAGTCACGTCTAAGTACTTGGTCCACGAGACAACCTCATCGTTCAATTTGTTTGTGATCCACACTTCAATCTTCATTGTTTCTCCACTTTGATGTAACAAAGAAAGTCTATCTCCTCTAAAACTCGATAACGCTGCTGTGTCTAATACTCCACATTTGAATGGAAGATCGCAAACGATTTTGAATGTCTCTGTGGAGAAATCAAAACTTTGGATGAAAATATCGGGTCTATTGTTCCAATGTGCAATCCAATACATGTTTCCTTTCACAGACACACCTTTGCAAGGCGGATCTATAGACCAATCCAAAGTACTATCATCAACAATTCTCCATGAATCCGATTTGAAATCATAAATCTGAATCTTCGGTTCATAAGACCCCGCGATTTCACTCTCGTCTTCAAGCTCTCCATCAAAAATCCTTAAAATTTTGTACTCATCACGACATACATTGTCATATCCAATACCATAGTAGTCATTACTCGAATAAAAATCCATTGGTTTGATCCATTTGATTCGATTCAAAAACGGATTCCAAACCGCGAGTTTGCAGCTTCTTGATCGTTCGTTCTTGCATCTACATAACAATAATCCATCACAATGAACCATAGTGGAAATTTGAGCTACATTTTCGAACTCATGTGGGATTGGTGAAGATGAACGAGCTCCTTTCACCGGATCGATGATCTGAACCATATGATCTATTCTTATGAACCGTTCTTGTTCTTGAACAAGATCCAAATATTTGTAGATGAATCTCTTGTCCTTCAAGAGAGCAAACCATTGTTTACACGTCAATTTGAATTGCGTCAAATATTCTACTGGAATCCTACAAACTATTTCTTCTATTATATCAATAGGAAGCAATGAACGTTCAGATGAAGCCATACAAAATTGAGAAAAAAAAATCCGAAAATTATGACTCAAAGAAAGTGGTCTCGCTTCTTATATACGTTGTGAATGGTTGGTTATAAACAATTAAACGTTACCTCTAGTTTTTTCTGCAATAAATTGTGACGATGCTGAGAAAATGAATTTTTTCCGTATATGGCTTACAAGTTCCCTCAATTTTCGAGTTTTGTTTGAGGACTATATTGAAGATGATATTAAACACAATTAAGGTAAAATCTGTAAGGTGAAGGAAAATTAGTAATACGATACATTAATTCGAATTATTTACTACTTATATAAAAAATTGTTTTAGACCAAACCAGTCCGACATAAAGATGTGTGAATCATAAGAAGTATCACATGATGCTAGAAATATAGATTTTTCAAACATGACAAAACAAATAGTGAGTGTCTTAGTCATGCCATTTGAAGTAGAACGAAACTTGGTGATGAGACACGTAACATCACTAAGAATCAAGATCTAGCTTCGTATTTATCGTACGTACCACGTCCACCTAAGTGTTATCCATATCTGCTACATGTCGTCTATCTACATTCAATTTTTTTTTGCATTAACTTGTAACCATTTACATAATAATTAGAATCAAGATGTGAATTTAACTTGATTACTAAAATCTTAAATGTTTAAAACATACATGTTTCTCAAAATCCTATTTTAATGTATTAGTTTAGATACTTTTTTTAAAGGTAACTAGAAATGTTTTTAGATTTTAATTTGTATCATCCTATACTATTATTTGGGGAGTACAATTTATAAGATACCCTTAACTAACCTTCTATTTTGTAAAAATTTACTTAAGAATGCCATTAGAAATAAAATTTTATAGAGTAAATTAATTCAACTCATTAAGGATAAACAAGTCAAATACTATTTTATGCAATTTAATTAATTTAATTTAATTATAAAAACGAAAATCTATTATTAATTTTTTTTTAAAAGAATGACCAATCAAAATGAACATATAAGATTTGATATCTAACTTATCACATTAATTTGTTATTAATCATTATACTTCACCTCTCATCTTTATATTATTCTATTTCTATAAAATAAATAAATTATTATATCATCTACATAATAAAAAAAAGTAAATTTTTTTCCGCATATACAAAGATTTGAATTTTTAAAAATGAATATAAATTGTTTAATGTATGAAAAAACAAATTTAACGGGTCAAAAATTCATATTTGAGTAATATATTCCTTTTTTAATATCATCAATACTTAATAGATCAAAAAGTTAAGAAATATAAATACTCTAATTTGATTTTTTTAAACAAATATTTATAATAGGCGGCGGGTTAAATATAATGTATTATATGATGAAATGAGTTATGATCCTTATAACTATTTGAATATTTATATTTAATTTCATATATATATATATATATTTAAATTCATAATTTTATATACTACAATAAAAATTTTAAAGATTTTAATTTGGAACATTTAAAAAAAGTTTAATTTAATATATTAAAAAATATCATAAATATTTAATAGATTAAAAAGATAAAAAAAAATTATAAAAACTAATTTGATTTTCTAAAAAGATATGTTTAATAGATTTATAGTAGGCGGCGGGTTAAAAGTAATGTATTATATGATAGAAAGTTATGATCCTTATAATAGACGACATTTTAAGATTTTATGATGAGATGAGTTAAATAAGGTTTGACACTTCTAAATATTTGAAAATTTAATTCTGCAAGCAATTTTGGAAATAATGAATAATAGATTGTGCCACAATATTTTCATAGGGATTGTAAAATGAAAATATAGACTCCACACACGGATCGAATTTGGTATTATTATATACCAAATATATGTTCATAACATATTCGATTATGTGAATAATTGGTAAATTTCGTAATTAGCTCAAACAAATCTCTATTTCAACAACCAATGAATTAGAATTTGAAAAAATAATTTCCTAAATTAATTCAAAATAATAGCTAACTAACTAATTCAAAATAATCTACGTTTTAGATGCGATTCATTTATGATATTTTGATTTTTGATCTAACTAAATTATATGCACTCTCATTTTGTGGTTGTTAACATAAATTAACTCATTGTTCAAACAATATTATTTTGTTTGAAAATAATATTAATTTCCGTTCTCATATCTTTAAAAAATATATCCATAATTGAGGATTACAAAAAAATAAAAATATATATTCATTCTAATATTATATATATGGACTGACATAAAAAATTAATATTTTTTTACTTACTATTATAATATATCACGATTTTATTATATAACTATATAATATATAAATTTTGTAATAAATGAAATTCAACCCGTACTGTAGTACGGGTGATGATCTAGTTATATATATACTTATACTCGCTATACTAACTTCTAGATCTCATTGAATGTTTTGTCCAATTTTTTTCTTGTGTTTGGATAATCGTCTGCTCGATGTTTTGATGCGTACGAACACTCGTCACCATGCATGTCAAGCTCTCCTTCCTATATAAACTAAAACCATCCATTATTGTCCTCCAAAACAAACACATCAACAATACAACAACAAAAAAATGGCAATAACCAACAAATTACTCATAACACTTCTCCTCCTTATCTCCATAGCTTTCGTCCACTGCTTAGCCTTCCATGTAGAGATCGAAAAGTTCGACATACCGGAGCAAGAAGAACAAGAAGGTTCACGCCGCCGTCCTGGCGGTGGTGGCTCCGGTGAGGGATGGGAGGAAGAGTCGACGAATCACCCGTACCACTTCAAGAAGCGGAGTTTCAGGGATTGGTTCCAGTCAAAGGAAGGTTTTGTGAAATTGTTACCCAAGTTCACAAAACGTGCACCAGCTCTCTTCCGAGGAATTGAGAACTACAGATTCTCATTGGTGGAGATGGAGCCAACAACTTTCTTTGTGCCTCACCATTGGGATGCTGATTCCGTGGTTATAGTTCTACAAGGTAAAGGAGTGATCGAGTTTGTGACGGATAAGACAAAGGAAGCGTTTCATATAAACAAAGGTGATGTGGTGAGAGTCCCTTCCGGCGTCACCCACTTCCTCACCAACACTAACCAAACCGTTCCTCTCCGCCTCGCCAAGTTCATAGTCCCCGTCAACAATCCCGGCCAGTTTAAGGTCCATAATTATATTAGTCATTCTTTGTGGATTCTTACACAATTATGTCACTTGGATCATTACTCGGAGTTATACGAGTTGTTGCATGATGTTCAAGAAATAACTAACTTAGTTTAATCTTGATTTGTACCAGGATTACTTCCCTTCTCCATCTCAATTTCAGCAATCCTACTTCAGTGGGTTAAGCAAAGAAGTCCTCTCTACCAGTTTCAACGTATATATATGCTTGTCATTTAATATTTAATATGAGCCTAGAACATGTTTTGAATTTCTTACTAAATTTCTTAAATATGTTGGATATTTTCTTGGTATAGGTACCGGAAGATTTGGTAGAGAGATTGGTTAAGAGATCAAAAGAAATGGGTCAAGGGATTATTCGAAGAATTTCGCCAGACCAAATCAAGGAACTTGCAGAACACGCTACATCTCCTTCAAACAAACACAAAGCTAAAAAAGAAAAGGACGACGACACAGACCTGAGGAAGATGTGGACTCCTTTCAATCTCTTTGCAATAGATCCAATCTACTCCAACGACTTTGGTCATTTCCACGAGGCACATCCTAAGAGTTTTGATCAACTCCAAGACCTTCACATAGCCGCTGTTTGGGCTAGCATGAGACAGGTTTACATTCAAAAATTCTTATATGCTAATCGATGGTTGATTACTAGCTAATCGAAAAATGGGTTGTGTAAAATATATATGCAGGGATCCTTGTTCCTTCCTCATTTTAACTCTAAGACCACGTTTGTAACGTTTGTGGAGAATGGTTGCGCCCGCTTCGAGATGGCTACTCCTTATAAATCCCAAGAAGAGCAACAACAATGGCCAGGACAAGGACAAGGACAAGAAGAAGAAGATCTAAGTGAAGATGTACACAAGGTTGTGTCACGAGTGTGTAAAGGTGAAGTCTTTATCGTTCCGGCAGGTCATCCATTCACTATACTCTCGCAAGATCAAGACTTTGTCGCTGTAGGGTTTGGTATTTATGCGACCAACAACAAAAGAACGTTCCTTGCAGGTAAAGAAAAGGTTTTTTAATTGATAGTTTCTAAATTTCTCTTTTTGAGTGTCTCTCACTCTAAAGAGTATTTTGTTTGGTTGGGTTTAGGGGAAGAGAATATGCTGAGCAACCTCAACCCCGCGGCGGCTAGGGTGACGTTTGGTGTTGGAAGTAAATTGGCGGAGAAACTGTTCACAAGCCAAAACTATTCCTACTTTGCGCCTACGAGCCGTAGCCAACAGATTCCAGAGAAACACAAGCCATCGTTTCAATCAATCTTAGACTTTGCCGGTTTTTGAAAATGCTTTTTACAGTCCTAAGAATGAAAGAGTTTAATAAATCTGTCTGAAGATATGCAATAAAACATGGTAACGCTCTGCATGTAACTTCTCTGTACCGAGTTTCTTGAGTTGTAAATTTTGTTGTGACAGATTACCTCCTGTTTTATAAATAATAAAACCATCGGTTTAGCTATTATGGTGTTTTAATGCATGTTATCTATATATCTTCTATGTCTTTTATATCCTAATTTTTACATTAAACTTGTGAACACACCTCACAAGTCATCCATCATGCATTCACTATATAGTCTCGCAAGATATGAGTGGACAAGTACACAAGGTTGTGTCACGAGTGTGTATGTCTTTTATCATTCCGGCAGGTCATCCATTCACTGTCTCACAAGATGAAAACTTTGTCTCGGTAGGTTTTGGTATTCATGCATGATGCATCCAACTAATAAAACCGGAAGGTTTGGTTTTTTTTTTTTTTGTGCAAAGAAGGTTTGGTTATGGTGTAGATCTTTTCGAAAAAACAGTTGAAAAAAAAAAGATTTGGTTTCTTTAACTTTTATTTAACTATGCAATTAACCTCAACTCAATCCAAATTTTTCTCACAATCTTCACATAATAAAATAAAATTAAAAACGAAAATCTGAAAAAAAAAACAATAATAGAAATAGAGACCAAAATCAAATAGCTAGCTGATAATGAAAACTAATGGTGTTGAAGATATCTTCATGAAGAGTATTTGGTGGTAGAAACAACTTTAAATTCGACTTCTACTTTCAAAGAGCCTTCTTTGTCCAAATAAGCCTCCCGGAGTTTAGCTAAAGACACAAATTCAGGCCAACCCCAACTATAATTAGTGGAAGAATTCTGGTACCAACATTTACCTGCAGTAAACAGAATTTAATCTCTCATGAATATACATCACAATATCTAAACAAAATGTTATGACTTACTTGTCCTAGTCACGTGATTGCATCCAAATGGGTCGACAATTCGCATATCCACTTGCGCATAAACTTCTTCCTTTATTGTTTTATCATCAGCTTTCAGATAGAGGGATAAGAATTTGCAATTTGTTTTGCCCTTGGGATACAACATTATCACCCTAAAAACATTATAAATTGTTAAAACATAGTGATGTTATTTCAGATCATTATGTTAATATAAAACTATTGATTACTCACCAATTCTTTCCTCCCATTAAAAACTTCTTTGATTCGTAGGTATTCACTTTCAACTTAGAGAATTTGTTGACCGTCCAAGAGAATTTGGGATACAAGGGTTTCTGATCAAACGAGACAACTTCCCAATTGGTATGTGGAACCATCACATCAACACCAAACTCGCATTGATCTCCATCGAAGACATATCCGTTTTCCGGATCATTGAATGTATCAAGCGGAACCACTTGCGAAAATCCCCATACCGGTCTTAATGCATTGAACTGGTTCCCTTCAACATCTGCATATATATTCCATCAATGACGACTACACATATATAGAGAGAATAGGCTATGGAGGTACTAACCTTGAATAGTAAAGAAATTATTTTCTTTCTTGTTGTAGACGAAAAAGGTGAGATATGCGGCATATCATATGCCAAAACCGTGGACGCGACGAGGCTTTTGCTATCTAATTCAACATACATTGAAAGAAATCCACTTCCCTTGTCTTTTTTGTTACCCTTTGGATATATAACCAATCTCCTGATTTTTACAACAAAGATGAATAAATTAGTTATATGTTTTTATAATGATCTTAGCATGGACAAATTAATAACTACGGGACGTTGATCATTACCAGTTGTATTTGCCGGAAGAGAAAGAACGGGATTTGTATCCGTCATCGGGGAAGAGAGTATTGAGCTGAGAGAGGCTTTGGATCTTCATGGAATAAGTAGAAGGCAGACGATCTTCAAACTTGCTCCTACTTGTAGAATTTGCTTCTACGCATGACTTATCTTCTTTCAACATTCTCTTTCACCCTTGAGAGAGACTCAAACAAGATTATAACAAGAAGGCAAAGATATGATCAATCGTTTTCAAATATATGTATTGTAAAGAGCGTATAAGAGAGAATATATCCAAATACGAAAAGAAGGCGAATTTATAGTCTTTTGTTCGTTTGTTTTTTTTTGTTTCCTAGTGGGATTAGGTTTTGGTTTGACGGATTAATTATTAATTATTTCTTGACGTTGATAATAGACGAAGTTAATCCTTATCCTACTGCCGTAAACAAATTTTATCTTTGCATTACTTTAATTTAAATGAGGGAGAATTTCTTTTTTACAGTTCATATGTAAATTGGTACTTTTTTTTTGTTTGCTAAGAACATAAATATTTCATAGAAATGTAAAAGATTTAGGTCTACACTCATGGATTATATAGATTATAATCCTAAAGAATGGTCCTATGGCACACAAAAGAAAATGGGCATGGAAACATAGTTTTTAAACATGATCTCAGTCCGTCCACTCGACATATATACAAAGCGAATGGAGTTGGACAAAGTGATAATGATATTGGTGCGCTTCTCATGTGGTAAGATAGAGACAAAGGGTGAGTGCACTTTGTAGAAGCCGAATTACCCAAGCAATAAAAGCACTAGAAGCCTTTTAATGTAAACTAGGTAAGAACCCGTGCTATGCACATGTCAATTTTATGTTATAATACATAAAAGAAGGCAAAAGAGTCTCTGTTTGTTTGTTTCCTCGTGTGAATGGGTTTACGCTAGAGCCTAATTTTTCCTCGTTATTCAGTAGTAGATACGAAACCTTAGGCCACCTTCATCAGTTACATACCCATTTAAGTATCTGAACAATATAATAATATTATTTTTATATAATTTAATTATTTAATAAATTAGATATTAGTTTGAACCAATAAAAAAAAACACTTGTAGATATGGATATATAGAAGTTTCTCTGCAGAGAAACGTTTTTTCCGTCTTTTATCACTTTTTTATTTTTTTCTTATATTTTAATAAAGTGTTTCTAAATGAGAAAGCCCAACGAACAAAAAAGAAAAAAAAAGAATGAGAAAGCCCAATGGAGATGGCTTTACTTTACCATGGCGATGGGCCTTATAAATTGTAATCAAATGCCCATTTAATCTGAAGCTCGTATTTTAACTTGATATGACTAAATTACCCATGACGATCATGTGAATTTACCAAATCATCCTTTTTCTTCTTCTTCTCCGTAAGTGTTAGAACAAGGCTTGTTCTCCAAGACGCTTTTTAATCTCTCTCTCACAACGCCGGAGAAAAAAGCAAATCGGAGTCTGAGACTAACAGATCTGTAGAAGAAGATGGAGTGTGTATTCGGTCTTGTTGGGAATGGATTCGCCATCGTCGCTGCTGATACATCGGCGGTTCATAGTATCCTTCTCCACAAAAACAACGAAGACAAGATCATGGTACTTGACTCTCACAAGCTTGTTGCTGCTAGTGGCGAGCCTGGTGACCGGTAATTTCCTCCTCCGATACTGTCCTCTCTCTCTGTATATCTCTGTAATTTAGCGGTGGAGGTAGTAATTTTGACTGTCTTCGGATTTTGGGATTGGTTAGGGTTCAATTTACGGAGTACGTTCAGAAGAATGTGTCGTTGTACAAATTCAGAAACGGAATCTCTTTGACTACCGCCGCTGCTGCGAATTTCACTCGCGGAGAGCTCGCTACTGCGTTGAGGAAGGTAAGCTCTTCTTCTTCTAGCTTCTGCTATTAGGGTTCTTATTTGGGAATTTGCTTTGATATTGTGAGAATGATATTGTAAAGCTTGTATTTATTGTCCTCTATGATCCATTTTACATCGTAATTGTGTTCGATTGAGGTTCTATGTGAATTGAATTGAAGCTTCCCTCTGTGATGTTGTGGTTATGATAACATTAAGGTTGCTGATAGCCAATGGGTCTTTATTTCTTTAATTTCATGGACTCTCAGGTTTCACTTTCATTTCTATGTGGCAGTGTTAAGTATTGTTGTGATTTTAGTATTTCTGAGATGACTATAAGTTGGACTTTAGAATAATTAGTAGATTTGATTGGAGATAGTGCATATGTTTTCACTGTTGGGATTGTAGTGTGGCTATCCCAAACTTGAAGGAACTTACTATCTTGTTCTGTGCTTGAATGTCATATAAATCTGTGCTTGAAATGTCATATAAAAGAATTGTAGATGTCTATAGCCTAATGATCACTACAAGAGTTGCAGAATTTTCCTTATATTGTTTTTGTCTAGAATATTTTGATGCATCTTCTTTTGGTGGAAACGATGAAATTCGGATTGAAACGGATGGTTTCTTATGGCCAAGCGTTGTTAGGACTTTGTGTTAGACTTTATAATGCTATTTAAATAATTGTGCTGTCTTTCAAGGCTACTCTGGTTTTCAGGACTTGATTTTATGTATACTTATTATCATTTTCGGATTGATATCCCAGCATTATACAGTCTTAGGGCTATACACAATAAACTCATGGCCTTTGTTCTGGATTTCCTTGTTTCTGTTTTGTTTATGATTGGCCACTTATCATTGATGGTGAAACGTTTTTGGGATATCTTCGTGTTTTATCTTTTTGCTCCATTTCATCAGAATCCGTATTCCGTTAATATCCTGATGGCTGGCTACGACGATGAGGCTGGTGCATCCCTTTACTACATCGACTACATTGCAACCCTTCACAAAGTTGACAAGGGAGCTTTCGGTTACGGCTCCTACTTCTCCCTCTCCACGATGGACAGGCATTACCGCAGCGACATGTCTGTAGAAGAAGCTATTGAACTAGTCGACAAATGCATACTTGAGATCCGGTCAAGACTGGTTGTTGCGCCACCAAACTTTGTGATCAAGATTGTTGACAAAGATGGAGCTCGTGATTACGCGTGGCGTCAGTCCGTAAAGGATGTCACAACTGCTGCTGTCTGAGTTGGTTTGTGTTTGGTTTCTAATGTTGTGTCTGTGACATTTGCTTTTGATTTTAAGTTGGGAGTTAGTGTTTTGACACTTTTAATCTTTAAGCATCAATAGTGTTTGCGATTCCATAAAAATGATGATGTATTACTTAAAACAATACAAAATAAATCTCACTCGAAACAAAGAACAGTATACACAAAAGCTTATTCCACAAAGCAATGACCAAATAAATGGTTTCTTTCTATAATCAACGATGCATAAATTAAATTACATGAGGAATACAAAGAAATCTTCATCAATAGAATTTGAGAGCTACGAGGGCGATGCTGAAGAAGAGAAGAGATGGTGAGAGTGCGTAGGCGGATGAAGGCGTCTCAGAAGGTCGACTGGTGCTTCCTCCATCGTCTGACATCGGAGCTCCACCGTCGACAGATGGTGTAAAAGGTCGGGTTGTATCAGACTGTGGTGTCTGAGCTGCCGGGGTTGGCTCTGGGACTATAGGATCTGTCGCTGGTCCTGGAGACATCGATGGTCCAAATGTACCAGCAGGTCCTGTTCCCAAAACAGAAAAATTCTTATCAATTTATCTTCCAAGCAACTAATTATGTGATTAATTGAGATAATAATGTGATTGATTGTTTACCAGGAGCAGCAGCTGGAGCAATATTGGCTGTAAAAAGATGGAAGATCAAACATAAATTAGACAATTAGTTCAAGAAGTCATATAGAAAATTTAATGATTAGAGGGGAATGATTTGATTTTATTTGCCTTGGCATTGAAGAGGGACTCTAGGCATGTTACAAGCACGGGGAAGAGAGACGGCGGTTGTGCGGTTAATCGGAATATTGAAAGGCACAGTTCCAGTGACAATTAGACAGAGACATCCCATCCCTCCGGTGGTCAAAGACCTCAGCGAGTTGCAACAATCAGACGACGGCGAAGTTCCGTTGCTGCTACTGTTGGTTATGAAGCTCATACAAGGACTCACAGTGGTCATCATAGACGGAGTACATTGGCTAAGTGGTTGTTGTTGACTGCGAATCGGCAAAGCTAGCACTGCGATCATCGCCACCACCACGACTAGAATCTTCGACATTGTTGGATCGATTAAGCTTTGTTTGTTTGTTGTACTTTTGGAAGTTTGAAGTTTTGTGGTATTGTGTTTGAAGTGTGATGAGAAGTAAGCAATTGTGGGATTGGTTTTATAGATTGGAGAAAAGTGGAGGGAAGAAAAAGAAGTGTGTATAGGTCAACTACTAATAACTAACTCATGTTCGTTTTTGTTAATTGGAGTCGTTGGTGGAAGTGAATTTACCAATGGGATGCGTACATGTGTACGTGAGGATTGTGGTAGATAGATACCTGTCTATTGTATTAGATGAACCACTCTTTCACGGTTGTTCTGTTTTGGTAACGAAACAAGAGATCAAAAAGATTCCATTTAACTTTTTTTTGGTCCATTACTATCCTGTTGAGTTAAAGACAAAAATGTTCCGCTTACAAGACAAGACATACATATGCTCTCAATGATGGAGATGATAAAAAATGATAGAGTTAGTAGCTTAATATGTTCTGAAAATGTATCCATTTACAATTAAATGAAAGATAAAACTGTTTATTGCAAAATACTCCCTCTGTTTTTTAAAAGTTGTCGTTTTAACTGTATTTAGACAAATTAAGAAAAGGTATACAATGACTATATTAACCTCATAAAAATGACAAGTAATTATTTACAAATAATTTGTGTTTAATTAAATGAGGGTAATTTGGGTAGTTATTGGCATAAGTTACATTATTACCTTAAAACGACAACTAATTTAAAACAAAAAAAATGCTCTAAAACGACAACTATTCGAAAACGGAGGGAGTATTTACTTTATTCATTGCTATTACTTTATTAGACGTCCACCAAAAGTCATTGGTATCGTGATGTCAAGGAAAAAAAAAAGTCATTGATTTAGTTTGTAATATTTTTTGCCATTTACCATTGACTCAAAATCATTCATGGCTACTGATTTTCTTAGTTTCATTTCATTTGTCTTATTCGGATATTTAGTATTTTCTTTCTTTATGGTCGATAATTCAACTTTCATATAGGTTTAAAACACGGCAACCATATGACTAAAATAACTCACCATTGAATCAAACAAAAATCAACATAATTTTGGTCTAGAACGTCAAAAGACTTGTAAAAGATGATGTCCTAACTGAGAATTTTCGACACCTGTTATTACTTATTATTAGTCAAGTCAATACAAAAAAAAAAAAAAGAATACAAAACAAATCTGTATTATTGTAATAGTAATTAGCAAAACTCCATAAACCTTAATCAAAGGAAGTAGTTCAACAACCAAAGCCTAGACCGTCACAAAGACCACCGACCCCAAAATTACAAACGGATCAGTTCTGTTCACAACACAACACTCATTTTGTCCGAATCTGAACAGATCAAACCAAAAACTGTTAGAAAAGTAGGAAAGAGTTGGTCACCCAAATTAAGCCACCTTTACCTCCTCAATTCCTTATTTATACCCTAAAAGACTCCACAATATCCAATCAAACAAACAAACACAACAAAACCCAAAACAACAAACTAAAAAGGATTCTTCTTCAAACACAACATCTCAAGGAAACATGAAAATGGGAATGGGTTTAGTGTTTCTTACAGTTTTTATGGCAGTGATGTCTTCTACAAGGGTCTCTGCTCAGTCCAGCTGTACAAATGTGTTGATTAGCTTGGCGCCGTGTCTCAACTACATAACCGGAAACTCTACCTCTCCTACTCAGCAATGCTGTCGTCAGTTGGGTAGCGTAGTCCAGTCTTCTCCTAACTGTTTGTGTCAAGTCCTCAACGGTGGAGGCTCTCAGCTTGGGATCAATGTTAACCAAACACAAGCTCTTGGTCTGCCAACGGCTTGTAATGTTCAGACTCCTCCTGTCAGTCGCTGTAGTACCGGTAAGAATTTCAAAACATCGGTTTATGAAGATTGTTCCAATCCTAGTTCTTGCGAATCTTACGCAGTATTATGTTTTTGCAGCTGGTGGTGGTGGTGGTGGTTCTACTTCTGACTCTCCTGCAGAATCACCAAACTCTTCAGGTAAATGACTTAAAACAGATGTAAAGAAGAAATACTATTCTCAATATAGTCTTTAACTCTTTATGTTATCTAATGCATCCATATCGGGAATTTATGTTAGGACCAGGAAATGGATCGAAAACCGTACCCGCAGGGGAAGGAGACGGACAATCGTCTGATGGAAGCTTTATCAAGTTCTCATTTCCTCTTCTTGCCTTCCTTTCCGCGGCTTCCTACATCGCAATCTTCTGAGTTACTGTTTTCCCATCCACGTTTCTCCTAAAACCGATCAAGCTTTTGTGCCACTCAGATTGCATTCTTTATTTGTCCCTATTTATTCACATTTCGTTGTGATTTTGTGTGATGTATTTTATGCTCTGTGAATCCCTACTCTTCCGGTGATATTGCTTTGTTGTACCAACGGAGAGCATTTGGATCTCTTTACCTTTTACAATAAACATTACTTTCCAGAACACAATTTGAAGAACAGAACATTAGCTCTCTCAACAAATTTCAGTTTAGATGGCAGCAATCTAACTATTTTGGGTTCAAAATTCAAGAGCCAGACATAGTAGATAGAAAAAGATATCCCATAAAACATCCTATAGAATATGACAGACTTTAGGTGGCAAGCAACGTTAACTATGAAACATGAAGTTGTGAGATAAACTATTTAAGTTGGATATGAGAAGAACCAAACTTCAACCGCAGTATGCAATGGGAAGAAACCAACAGAAGACAGTCAATATCCACACCGGAACCGCGCACATATATACTATTCACATACAAAAAAACAAGAAGCCTGATAAGTTAAAATCAAATACTGCATATAATTAAAAGTACCAAGACAAAATTTGAGATCTATAAGACGATACTTCCTCTCTCGTTATGAACAAGAGAAAAAACATGTGAAATGATGCAGTACTTTTGTTTACATACCTCAAACTTTAGTTGACAAGAGCCATGGTTTGAGTTAGACAGTCTTCACAGCACAAGCTAAATGGAAGTTAGAAACTTCCTCACCATAGTTAGAGCTGAAGATAATTGAATTAAGAACAGCTAGTCTTCCTGAAACATCATCTAAAGAACTTCAACCTGTAACAACAACATGAAAACAAGAAGAAGATGACCATGAGGGCTTGTGTTCTTCACATATTACCCCCATTCACAGTTCTTTGTAAACGTTTGCCACATTTACTACAAGAAAGTTTCAAGTCTCTAAATCCTGTGAATGCAATGCAGGCTCTCTGCCCTTCGCTAAGCGTTGAATAAGGCATTGAATGTTTCTAATCGAATGGAGAAGATGCAAATCTTAGCAATAAGATATAATATATTGATCTTAATTCACCTTCCAAAAGACCAAGAGACGTGAAGCAAAGCTAATGAACAGTTTCAATTTATCATTAATTGAAAACCACCACATTGCATAACAACTTTGTTGTCACTATGTTATATAATGTGTTAGAGATAGAATCCAATTCAAACCAAAACCAACAATAAAGTAACAAGAGTATAAACTCCCCAAAGAGAACTACGTTCTCTTCCCTCGGCCTAACCCGATAGAATCCTCCAAAGCTCTCAATTGCTTGGATCGGTTTCACAAACAAAACCTAACCCTTATTTATAATAGAACGTAAAGTTAAAGACTCTAGGAAAAGTAAATAAGAAAATGGAAATCCTAAACTATTTCCTAAATCATAAATTAGGAAGTATTCGTATCATAATGTTACAGAAGAAAAAATGATGAAAGGTGATACAGAAAAAAGATATTCTACAACAATTTAAATACTAAGAATGCGACCGAGATCGCACAAACTCCTCGAGTTTTTCCCAGACTTCTAATGCAGCAGCCCGGTCTTGATGCCGCTTATTCTTGCTAATCTGATTAGTTCAGAAAACACAAAAGAAGTTCCTTAGATTCAGTAAATCATATCTCGATGATAACTATACATTAACAATAGACAAAAAGTGTGTTAAAATTCGCACCGAGATGATCTTTACATTCCATTGCTTCACCGTCTTGGCTGATTCGATACTGTCATCTTCAAACCGCAAGAAGAACCCAATGACTGCAAACAATAGAAAAAAACGATATCATCAGCACCAAATAGAAACCGAAACCACACAAGACAAAAGATTTGAACTTTTCAGCGTCTAATACTCCTAAATCATATTTCCTTACTCTTATTGAATATCTCAACATGATCCTTAAAAGGCCAATCTTTGAACTGCCAATCCTTCCCCAATACAAAAACCGCAACAACACGATCCCAATCATCAGGCTTCAAAGCAGAAGGCTTATCCCTAACTTCATAAGCAGTCACAACTCTTTCCCTATCTCTACTAAACTTCTTCTGAACCGTAATACAATCCGGCTTCAACCCCTTCATCTGCTTCGCCTTAACTTCATTCGGTATATAAACACCATCCTCAAGAAACTCTTTAACATTATATATAGTAATCAACGTCTGAAACGCACTCGGCACAAGAATTATCGGCACGCCTTCTCCAATCTTCCCAGCTTTGAAATGAAGCTTAGATTTAGGATTAGCATCATAACCATTATCATCACCACCACCACTAAACCCTACAATACCTCTCTCTTCAGCTCCCATTAACCTACTCTTAGCAACTAATCCATCTTTCCTCTGATGAGACTCAATCCTTTGTCTCTCTTCTTCTCTCTTAGTCGAATTCACCAACACACTATAAAAATCTCTGTTCTTACACTGAAGAATCGCGTCACGGCTCTTCAACGGACGTTCATTGGATCGAATCAGCATAATGTAATCAACATCTTCGCCGGATTTACCGAAATCTTCAACCTCCATATCTTCTATCGCGTTTTCACGAGACACAAAAGCTGAATTATCTTGATCTGGTCTATACTCTTCGTTCTGCTTCTGACTCTGTGCGTTTTGCTGTTGAAGCAATAGATAATCAATCGAATCGGAAGAAGCGACTCTTCCGGTGAGGTAATCGAGTAGAGGTTTCCGATCTGGTAAAGTAACCGCCGGGACGGAGTTTTTGACGGTGGATTGCATATACTCTCCATGTTTCAGATGTTGATTCTTCACATAGTGTACTAATGCTTCTAGTGTGTAGAGGCTTCCACTTTTTGATCGGTACGCCGTCTCCGTCGCGCATGGGAACGAATATTCCGATCCGAATCTGTAATTGGCTCCGACTCGCTCGATTTTATCAACGTCTCCTCGGATTGTGAAATCTTTCAGCACCGATAATGGATCCATAGCTTCAGAGATAGAGATTGATCTTCGATTTCGATTTTAGGGTTTATGCTACGGAAGCTCACAGAGAGACTCTTGAAGAAGAAAGAGTAAACAGAAGCGAGTAAATAAAACCACAAAGGGTAAATTAGTAATTTTACATAAGTCCCGAAAGATATGAAAAAGCCCAAACAATTAATGGGCTTTTCCAAGCCTAATAGAATAACCTCCTTCATGAATTTATTTTACATTCGTTGCGTGTTCTATAAATAACAAAAGGAGAGCCAAATTTAGATGCTTGGCGCGAGGGTTTGTTGCGCTCCGACCAGATGCAATATATTGAAGCTTGCCATGCAATTAGCAGAAGTTTTCGGCTTGGCTTTGAGACAGAGTATGAGCTTAGCTGGGAGAGAAGTGTATCCCAACTTCGAGAGGATCGGGTAGTTGCACTTGCTGGAGAGAAAATCCCAAATCTCACCTGAGAAGCTACAATCGAAGAACAAATGAGAACGAGATTCTGGTCTAGCATTACAGAGAAGGCACGACGGATCAGTTGCTAATCCCCAATTCAACAGACTATCTCTCGACCAAGTTACTTGTGGTTTGTGGTCTTTGAGCAGGTTGTAGATGACACTCGTGCAGAATTTATCAGATTTTTGGTTGTTTGTATCCTGAATTGAGCATCGGACATAGCAGGAGGCATGATCCAGTTTCCATTCTCCCACAGCTCGGCTAGAGTTGAAGATTGAGGGATGCCTAAGCTCATTGATCCTTCTTGTGAAACTGAAAGGTATTCTCTGACTTTTCCAAGTGGAGACCAGTTGCTTGACCAGAAGGATTTCGAAATAACAAAATTTTGCATCTATATTTTTCCTTCAACCAAAGGATTTCGATCGAAACCCTAGGATATTCAACCAACTCTACCGTATCTCTCAAGGTTTTAAAAGGCTTGAATGATGAAGAAGGCTACAACGGAGGAGGCTATGGCTGTCCCCATTGTATTGATGTTCGTCGGGTCCGTCCGTGCATTAAACATTTGCTGGAGATACATGACGCTTATTTTCCGGTGGATTTGTACTAATCCATCCCCAGCTAATATATTGGCTAAGAGTAAATACAACCTATTCGGGCAGTTTTCATATTCTTCTCCTCGTAAAAATTAAACGCCATCAGCTGGATAAGATTAAATCTGGCACAGTGTGTGTTTGTCCTCTCTCTCTCACCAGCAAATATGTTGTTGAACTTAACTTACTTTTAATTCCCCGCAGAGTCAGGGGCACTTGAGGAAGAGGATACGTGCAGTGAAACAGATGAGTCTACCAGCTAGTTTTGCTTAATATGCAAACATCTTCGTGGGCAAGGCTTTGAAAGTTATACTTGTCATCTCTGTTCTCTTGAACATGTACAACAGGTAATTAAGCATCCTAGCCAAACCAGATAAACTTGTTGTGTCAATACTTTTTGTTATTAACTATTTTTGAGTCAAGAAACCACGTCTTACTTGTTTTCCCTTTCTCAGGTCTACTTTTGTTTGCCTAAATCTGACCACATGTTATTTTTTTCAAGCAGAGGTTGGCTTTCTTGCCTTTCACTTCACGTCAATACAAAGACATATCCAGGGAGGAGGATAATTAAGAATCCTCCCACCATGGTGAGGAAGCAACCAGAGATGGCTACTCCAGAGGAGGCTGTGACTTTTTGAAGTATAGTGTGCTTGAGAAGTATGAGTTTAGCAAAGGAGTGATCAGAGACATGTTTCTTCTCTATAGTTACGTTTTATTATACTTGATAAGTTTTCATCTTACCTTATGTTTTAAGAAAACACATACACAAATCAGTCTTGTTCACAACCCGACACTCATTTTGTCAAACAAAAATGAGTTAAAGTCAAACAAAAATAATTATACACAACACAGTACTGTATTCTTAACAAAAATAACATACAAAATAAAAATACAAAACATCCTCTACTATTATAGTTAATGAGCAAAACGAGGATGTAATATAGTCAAGTCTTCTCCTGACTGTGCGTGTCAATTGAACAATAAAGTCGGTATCCAGATAAACCAAAATCGACTTCTTGATCTGCCAATTACTTGTGGTTTTGACAATCACCGTATCACTTGTGGCAACTGTAAGAATTTTAAAAATATGAGTTTATAAAGAAACACCAATCCTACAGTAGTCTATATCTTATCTGATATATCGTGAATTTATTTAGGAAATTGATCCAAAAACTGTACGAGTAAGGGATGGAGACGAACCATCATCTGATGGAGACGAAGATTTCATGCCATTCAAATTGCTTTCTTTATTTTTCCTTTTTATGCAAATTTCCTTGTGATTTTGTGTGATGTAATTTATGCTTTGTACCACATGTTGGATCTCTTTACCATTAACAATAAAACATTAATTTCCATAACACAATTTGAGACAGAACATTAGCTCTCAATTAGTCTCAACAAAATATCAGTTCAAGTAGAGGAACTATCATTAGTGATCTCAATAATACAATCTGGCTTTAACTCCTTCATCATGACATCATCTGCTTGGCCTTAACATCATTCTGGTATATAAACACCATCTTCAAGAAACTCTTTAACATTGCATATCATTATCTCTGAAACGCACTTGGCGCAAGAATTACTCCAATCTAGTAAAGTAACCGCTAGGACAGAGTTTTTGACGGTGGATTGCATATACTCTCCGTGTTTCAGATGTTGATTCTTCACATAGTGTACTAAAGTTTCTAGTGTGTAGAGAGTTCCACCTTTTGATCGGTAGGCCGTCTCCGTCGCGCATGGAAACGAATATATTCCGATCCGAATCAGTAATTGGCTCCGACTCGCTCGATTTTATCAACTAAAGAATCGTTTAGATGAAAGATGATTCAGATTGAATTATGGGCTTCCTTCTTGTCGTGAAGTATAGAAGATTGTTGGTTACCCTCGATTGTTGATGTTCAAAAATTGTATGATGATGTAATTTGAACTCGGCTGCGATGCTAAAAAATATCGTGAACCGTCGGCATCATTAAATTAGACTGATTTAATTAAAATTATATGAACCAAAAATTATTTCACGATATACCACTGATTAAATTCTAATTATTAAGTATGTTTTAGGCAATCTTAAACTACAGCTAACTTTCTATTCTTCATTGCTCACGTTGTTGCATGTGGCATTACTAGCACTTTGTATACTTACCCTTATCTCATTTTGTCAAACAAAAAATGTGTTAAAGTCAAACAAAAATAAAAATACAAGGCACATGCACTGTATTCTTTAATCATAATGTATGCGTGTTAGTTATACAAAATTAACATACAAAATAAAAATACAAAGCATGCTCTATTATTTATATAGTAATTAGCAAAACTAGAACATATTATATAAACGTGAAAAGACGTGTTAAAGATGATGTCAAGATGTTATTGGTAATTAGTATTTAGTTCTATATAGCAAGACTCCGGTCACAGAGGCCTCCCACACAAAACAAAAACAAATAAATCTGAACATATCAAATCAAAACTCAAAATTCTCCGACCACATTCAAAGAAACATGAAAATGGGAATGGTGTTAGTGTTGCTTACAGTGTTCTTGGCTGCGATGTCTCCTACAAGGGTCTCTGCTCAGTTTTGGTGCATCTCTGCTCAGTGTAGGTGCGAAATGATACGCGCAAACCTGAGATCGTGTTTCAGCAAGCAAAATGGTATCCCTATCTCTCCTTCTCCGCAGTGCTGTAGTAATCTCAAGGACGCAGTCCAGTCTTCTCTTGACTGTTTTTGTCACATCCTCGGAGGTGTCAATAATTTAAAAGGACATCTATTTCTTGCTCTGTCAAGTGCTTGTGGTCTTGGGGTTAATCCTATCGATCTTTGTAAAAAACGTAAGAATTTCTAAAAACATGAGTTTATAAAGAAACACCAATCCTATAGTAGTCTATATGTTATCTGATATATCGTGAATTTGTTCAGGAAATTGATCAAAAACTGTACCAGTAGGCGATGGAGACGAACCATCATCTGATGGAGACGAAGATTTCGTGCGACTCAGACTGCTTTCTTTATTTTTCCTTATTTATGCAAATTTCGTTGTGATTTTGTGTGATGTAATTCATGCTTTGTACCAAGTACTGTTGGATCTCTTTACCATTAACAGTAAAACATTATTTTCCATAACACAATTTGAGACGGAACATTATTAGCTCTCTGCAACAAATATCAGTTCAAGTAGAGGAGGAACTATCATTAGCGATCTCAATAAAATTCTCTAATGGGCCTTTCTCAACCGTAATAGATTTCTCTCTTTGGAATATTAATATTTGCTGCGATCAAAACTATTGTAACATATATATTTTTCGAAGGTAGATGATACTTTTGCAAAAAAAGGAAAATTTAAGTTTTATTCATTTATTTAAGATATTAAAAAATACAAAAACAAAATTATACAGAACCACCATGGAATCGCCAAGAATCTTCCTTCGCCTGTTCAATCTCTCAAATGCAGAAGATGTGCTAAAATGGGCTAGTGGAAGATGATCGGTTGTTTCTACACAATTTCTTAGCTAGTCTGAGAAATGACGGGTTAAATGGAGCTTGTAACAATGATATGCTTCACAATCATTCTCAACATGCAACAATGAAGAATCTTCTCGTTCATAGACGGATTCAGAACCTATTTTAACCAAGGACACAATAATTATTTACCTCAATATATTTTTTTATTTTTTTAATGAACTTATCTTATTTTCTTCTATATTTTGAAACGTATTCACTTCTATCTTATTTGCTATTTTGAACAATTATGTTTGACAAAATAAAGTAAACAATCGTTTAAAATTTGTTTAGCATGACCAAAACCTCATATCTCATAACACATTCGTTTATATCAAAATTATTTGGAAAAAAAAAAGCGTAGGGCACATGTCCACCCCATTTATGCAACATATCTGCCTCTGTTCTCGTTGGTATCCGCAGTGGATCGTTTCACTGAAATTATACTCATGGACTTTTAAGGAATAATTTATTTCATGACGTACTATATAAACATTTCCTACTTAATTAAAAGACGTTAAAAGAAAAGTAGTTCATATTATCCCGTACATTTTGATACATCTAGATTGCAATTGTATTCGTATGAAAAAACAAAATCACAATTTTGATTATGAAATTTTCGTTATTATAACTGAAGCATGTTAACCCATTTTTAGCTAGTTTTTTTATTGTATTAGATAAGTTTTCATCTTACCTTATATATGTTTTAAAAAACAAAATTACATCTTACCCCTTTATCACAAAAGAAAATAATTATATATATTAATATTTTTCAACTTTGACTATCTATTTTTTAGTCTTTGTAGTTTGTAAAATAAGATAATACTTATTTAAAATATATATGATGTTCCATTAGAAATCAAATGCGTACATTTGAATCTATGATATACACTAAGTCAAATTTCACATAATAATTATAGTTAATTTGCAAATATATATGACAAAACAACAGTATATATACTAATCTACCTATGTTCTTATTTTACAACAAAAAAAATTATATATTAGTATTGTGTTTTATAAAAAAAAAGGTTTAAAACTAAATGTCTCTAAATTCAAAATATAAATATTTTTAGTATGTCGATTAATTTTATTATATATATTAATATTTAGCAAAACTCTATCTTAATTATTATAACAATTTAAAAGTTCTTTCTCTTCTCTCTCTAGAATTTTTTAGAGGGAGAGAACTTTTTCAATCTTTTTCAAACTTTTTAAATTCTAGTTTAGTCTTGTTTGTCTAAGTTCAGATTTTTTGTATTGTTTAGGTTTTCTTTTCTGTAAGCTTTTAAAGTCATCCGGTCATCGGAGGATGCAAATCCTAGCGGCTTTTCTAGTTTGATCTCCCATATTCCTCACAGCTGCTCAATCTTCTCTTTTAAGAGAGTAGTTTTTCTGTTAAATTTGAATTAGAATGATTATCTGTTCCTCAAAACTCAGCTGCGATGCTAAGAAAGATATTGGATAGTTGGCATCACTAAATTAGACTATTTAATTAAAATTATATGAAATAAAATCAGGATCTTGTTCACAACCCGATACTCATTTGTATTAAAAAAACGTACTAATTAGAACGAGATGAGACGGTTAATTAAAATATGATATCTACAGATACCCAAATCAAACAAAAATGACATAAAAATTATAGTAATACGAACTATACTGTATTTAAACTATTAGTTAATAATGGCTACATGTTAGCTGTTGGATAAGTCAAACAAAAATAACATCCAATATAAAATTACAAAACATACTATACATTATTTATATAGTAATTCGTATAACTAGAACGTGTAGCCAAGTATAGTCTATTTAACAGCCAATTGTGCATATTAAAAATAAGAACACATACAAAACACACCCCTATATTATATATATATATAGTACCAGTTAGCAAGACTCTGAAAAAACAAACGAATCTGAACAGATCAAAACAAAACTCAAAGGATTCTTCTTCGACCACATTTCAAGAAAAAATGAAGATGGGAATGGTTTTAGTGTTGCTTACAGTTTTCGTGGCGGTGATGTCTTCTACAAGGGTCTCTGCTCGGTCGAAGTGCGGAGAAGTGAAAACGAGACTGCAATCTTGTGTCGGCTTACTAACTGGTAGATCTGGCCCTTTTTTTTCCTTGTGTTGTACTAGTGTCACTAACGCAGTGAAGTCTTCTCGTGAGTGTTTGTGTGAAATCCTCAATGGAGTCTCTATTTTCGGCTTCAAAGTTGACGAAGATCTATTTCGTTCTCTGGCAAAGACTTGTAAAGTTAAGATTCCCCCTATCAGTTGTAAGAACGGTAAGAATTTCAAAAACATCAATTTATAAAGAAACACCAATCCTATAGTAGTCTATATATTATCTGATATATGGCGAATTTATTCAGGAAATTGATCCAAAAACAGTACTAGTATGGGATGGAGACGAACCATCATCTGATGGAAGCTTCATCAAGTTCTCATTTCCTCTTCTTGCCTTCCTTTTTCCTACATTGCAATCTTCTTGAAGCACTGGTTGTCATGAAACCGACGAAGATTTCTTGCCGCTCAGATTGCTTTCTTTATTTTTCGCTATTTATGCAAATTTCGTTGTGATTTTGTGTGATGTAATTTATGCTTTGTACCACATGTTGGATCTCTTTACCATTAACAATAAAACATTAATTTCCGTAACACAATTTGAGACAGAACATTAGCTCTCTCAACATATATCAGTTCAAGTAGACGAACAATCATTAGCGATTTTTTTTGTTTTTTTGGTCTTAAACTCTTGAAGAAGCAAGAATAAACAGATGAGAGAGAGTGAATAAAACCACAACGGGTAAATTGTTAATTTTGACATAAGTTCCGGAAGATGTGAAAAGGCCCAAACCAATAATGGGCCTTACAAGCCTAATAGAATAATCTCTTTCGTGTATTTATTTTACGTTTGTTGCGTTTTCTAAAAATAACAAAATTTTGTATAACCATGGAGTCACCGATAATCTTTCTCCGGCCGTTCAATCTCTCCGATGAAGAAGACGTCTTCAAATGGGCCGGTGACGATGACGTGACACGTTACCTCCGTTGGGACTCCGTAAAAACCTTAGAAGAAGCCAAACAACACATCTTAAACAAGGCTATACCACACCCATGGCGCCGTTCCATCTCTCTCCTCCAACATGGTCGTTCGTTAGGTTACGTATCCGTCAAGCCAGATTCAGGTGATGGTCGGTGCCGAGCCGACCTTGCATACGCTGTAGCTAAAGAGTTTTGGGGGCGAGGGATAGCCACGGCGGCAGTGAGGATGGCGGTGGAACAAGCTTTCGAGGATTTTCCGGAGTTGGTGAGGCTACAAGCGGTGGTGGAGGTGGAGAACAAAGCGTCTCAGAGGGTGTTGGAGAAAGCTGGATTTCGAAAAGAGGGTTTGCTTGAGAAGTATGGTTTTAGCAAAGGAGTGATCAAAGACATGTTTCTCTATAGTTTTGTTAAAGATGATTGTTTTGTGTAATAATTAACGGTAAAAATAATGGAGGAGGAAGTAAGTAAATAATATCCGGTTTTTACCGAAATCTGAAATGATACAATAGCAAATGTTAGGTTTAGAGAGATAAAGATGTTTACGGCAACAAATGATGGTGCCTTTTGTCTACATGTTTTTGTGATGTCATGATTTAAGTTTAAGTCGTGTCGTGTGTCTACGGTGACTCTTTATCTTTCTTTCTCTGATGTTTGTCTTGTTCGTGATGAAAAGAAACTCTACATTAATAATCTTAAGGTCATTAATTTGGATAAAGATATTAAAGAAAAAATGTATATGAATGTGAAATATTAAATGGCAAAAATATACATTCTTTTACAAGCTACGGGTAATCAGTTTATGTTTTGGTTTAAGATACTCTATCCCGTTATTTCAAAAAAAAAAAAAAAAAAAAGTCTTCTTTGTTGCATGGATTTCACAAGTTGAAATTGAATGGTCAGAGTTTTGAAAAATCAGAACTTGTAAACCACTAAAAATGCGAATATATATGTGTAATAGGAAAAGATAATAATAGTGGCATTGCGCCAGTAATTACAGAGCAGAAAATATTCGGCATTATACAAGTCGGATGAATTATACACTATACATGGAAAAAAAATTAATATGTTGAACATCAAAGTCGTTCCATATCTTTAATTATTCAGGAAATACGAAAAAAGAATGTGAAAGTCTTTGAGAAATATCAAGGAGCACGCACGCATGCGTCTTGAACAGAAGTCATGCATAGTGTCGTCAAAATCAAATTGATATATATTTTACAATTCTTGTCCAATCAAATCTTAAATGTGTCAACTTCATATTCAACCACTTCTATACTTATGTATTATAAAACTTTGATCTTACATATATATGACATCCTTAAACTGCGTACGTAATTATTGACACGAGGTTTTGTATTAAGTTATCAACTGGTGATAGTTTTTCGAGAGATTAATATTTGTATACTTAGTTTGCATAAGTCATTATTTATAGATTGGTTGTCAAGAGACACACATCAAATTAAAACTTTAATTGTGTAAAAAACGCACTTGTTTTTTTCCTTAATTCCAACAATTTCAATAAATTATAACCAAGTAACTCAACAAACACCTCTTAATCACCGAGTAACTCCAAAATCTCAATTGCAAATTGTATTCATCGTGTGGTCACGCCTCTTCAATAATAACCATTATTACCTCTCTTATTTTATAAATTCACTTATTATTATTTTTACTTTCTGTGTAAAAGATAGATGATGCGACAGGAAGCAGTGAATGCTGATGTGAGCTTATATGGTCCCTACTCACTACACGTGGAGCCAACTCTTAGTAACTCAGAGGGTTATATTGCGGGACCTTTCTCTGACAGCAACAGAGAGAGATTAGATTCTGATCTCACGGACGGTCACGATGATATGATGGATTGTGTTCACGAGCCATGACACGACTCATGATGCTTCATCAGTTCTCCACTGTGAGTGACTTCACACTATTATAGACAAATTGATGATTATTAAGTTTGCAAACAAACACTGCTTAAACCTATTCTTGATTTCTTGTCCCCGAACTGTGATTGGTGATCGAATAGTTTATTAATTTTTGATCCATTAAGTTTGTATCATGGAAAACAGTCACAACACACACATAATATGCAAGTAACAGTTATCAAATCCATAAAGATAATGGGAATTTTTAGCCAAATGCGGAAATGTTTATATTTGAAAATTATAAAATTTAGTCATGGTTTTAAAAAAAGTCGATGTAATCACTGGAACCCTTGTCAAAATAAGATCGCAAACTTTAATTAGTAACAAAATTTGTGGTATCTAGGGGGGGTTCAAGGGTCGAATCGCTTTTTTAGTTACTAATCGGATAGACAAATAAAATATACGGTTAAAACGAACATATGTAAAATGAATGTTAGAAACAGTGTTTTGACATCGAAATAATGAATGATCTTTAGCAAAAAAAAATTTGTTTTTAAATACAAGTGTTTTCAGCGCATTAAAATGTAAATTTGCGGTGCAAATTTAAATTATTATCAAATAAAAACAACAAATCTTACAAAAAAGAAGTAATGACGTACTAATATTAGCAATAGAGTATACGAATTTATTTTACCACTAGCTTTGGTTTAAAGTAACGTTAATCTTTTTTTCGTGTGATACATATATAGCAAGTGTGTGTAATGTCCACCCAAAGAGACTAGCCAGCTACGAAAGCAAAAGAGATATTCAGTTAAGATTGTGAAATATATTCGTACGTATGAATGATCGTATCTCATTCCATTTCGATTCTGAGCGACCAAGTCCACCCACCCACACTCAGCTCCCATGCTAACAATATACTCATCATCACCACAATGCGTACCTTAAATCATTACACAAGAAAATAAAATAAAATAATGATCATAGCTTTTTTTTTTTTTTAAAAAGAGAACCAAAAGTTCTCGTAATCATCATCTCGATTTGTCTCCCGCTGAAGAAACCTAGTTCGTGTTTATTTGAGTTACTTTACCCCCTCTTTCTCGTTACAGTTTGGTTTTTATTTTGCTAAAACTTTGTAGATCTAGTTAGGTTAATAGGTTATGAAACTCTTCTTTTTATATTAAGGAAAATTACTTAAATATATGCGGTTTTTAGCCAAATCATCAAGGCTTAAAATTGATAACAATGCACATTAGTAAAATTGATAAATCATGTAAAATTAAGTGGGGAAAAAAATGATTGCATGATTTATGTTTAACCCTCCGATTATAGTCATCAAACTTGAGAAAACACCATTACGCATGATTGGTGAGTGTAAATTTAATGGGTAACCAATCATATATCAAGTTTGTTTCGCTTAATCGAAGATTCCATTATTTCCATCACATTACATTATGCTTTTTGGATAATAAAATGCATAAAGTGGGTTTCTCTAATTAATCTTCACTAAGGTTTTGTCAACTCGTTTGAAAAGAGTTTTAACAGAAAATTCTGATAGTTAACATTATACTTAGATAGTCATGATAAGAAGATATGATAAATCCATCTCAAAAGCCTTGAAACTCCATCTAATTTTTTTTTTTGCCTCATTTCTGTTTCATTTTCATTTTATATATTGAAAGTTCGGGGAATATATGTGACATGAATTCACTAGCAAAGGATCTCCTTCATATCTCATTCCTAATTTTAGATGAAAATGAAATAGAATAATATATTTTATTTATACATTTCCGTTTTTAATAAAACGTCGTCTTGAATATCTTTCTTATTCCCACCTTTTAAATATGTAATGTTGCCACCTAACAGTGATAGACAATTACTTAATCACCATATATATATGTGAGACGTACAATTTCTTCTATATTAAATGACATGCAAGACGTAAACAACTTTGCGAACTTCTGTTTTGAAAACGTTTTAGTACATTGTAATATGAATTCCTAATCAAAATATGAAAAAGTTAGGTAATACTATAATACACGCAATAAATCACTTATATTTCAATATTTGTAAATTGTGATAGTACATTAGTACTCCATTGATAGATTAGTCGTAACTCGTACGATATACAACAACACGAGTATTTTCAACTTCTACTTTCTCATTAAATTTCTAAAGTTCCTTTTCTCTAAAATAAACAAATAAAAGAATATAGAAAGAAAACTATAAGAAAAATCCAAAATAAAATAATAAAAAAAAGACGAAAGGGTCAGTAGAAAACGACGTGAGTGGTTCCTTGGCATAACCCAAAAAGCAAAATAATAAATCAGTAAAGAATAAAAAGACAAAATAACATCAATAATAATTTAAACAATAAAACGAATTTAGGAAGTTCCACTGGTGAAGTGGTTTTCTTCTTCACCCACTGATTTCTATTGTAAATTAATCTCTCTCTCCCTCTATATATATGATTCATATACAAAGACTTATACAAAAAATATGCATATAAATATTATTATTTGATACAGAAGCTAGTAAGTGTGTCTCTTTACTCTTTAGTGCTCTCTGTTTCTTCTGCTATGAAAAAACTTCATGGCGAATTTTGAGGATATGGAAGAGAATCAGTGGGTCTGTTTTTTTATTTTCTTTTCTTTTTCTCAGTTCATCGAAACTATAACCCACTAAACCAAATTATTTATTTATAAAAAGCAAAAACAAAACAAAACAAACGGATCAATTTCTTGCTTTTGTTTCTTTCTTCAATCTCTCTTGTGTAACGTTTCATGTTACAACACTTGATAAATAAAATTTTAGTAAGAAAGTGCGAGAAATTCGGGAGTTTTAAAAGAAAATCAATTTATATAAAAAAAAAAAAAAGCTTTCGTCTTTTCAGTTACTTTTTTAATTTCATTTTCTCTACTTTTCTCTTTTGTCACACTTTCATTTTTTTGTTCTCAAATCATGGAGGCAACAGAATTGCATTAGCTTCATTTTCTCTCACACTTCCACAATCCTAAAAACTTTCTGATCTTCCAGGTTAGTTCATCATCCAATTCTGCATAATTGAGTTATAAAGTTATGATTTTTATGTAATTAAGTTATAAAGTTATGATTTTTATGTGTAATTGAGATATAAAGCTGTGATTTTTATGTGTAATTGAGTTAAAGTTATGGTTTTTATGTAATTGGGCAGTGAATTATGCTAAAGAAGAGATCAAGAAGCAAGCAAGCTTTAATGGCGGAACCAAACCAGAGTCAGAATCAGAAGCAGAGTAAACCGACGCCGTTTCCAAGGCTCTTCACAGCTTTTAGTAGCTTTAAAAGCTTCACTGAAAACGACGCCGTCGCGAGTCCAACTTCGATCCTCGACACCAAACCTTTCTCTGTTTTGAAAAACCCTTTTGGATCCGATAACCCGAAAACCCACGAACCCGAAACCCGTCTCAAACTCGAACCCAAAAGAATCGGACTCGCCATTGTCGATTCTTTAATCCAAGACGAAACACCCGAACCCGGCCCGAGATCCGGGACTATTCTATTCGGGTCTCAGCTTCGGATCCGGGTCCCGGATTCTCCACGTTCGGATTTCGGGATCAAAACGAAGAATTCTCAACCGGAGACGAAGAAGCCGGATCCTGGGTCGGGTCTTGGGTCGCCCCGAATCATCTCCGGCTATTTCTCGGCGAGTGATATGGAGTTATCGGAGGATTACACATGCGTGACGTGTCACGGGCCTAACCCGAGAACCATTCATATATTCGATAACTGTATCGTAGAGAGCCAACCCGGCGTCGTTTTCTTCCGGAGCTCCGACCCGATTAAAGAATCGGATTCGGATTATTCCCCACCCGACAGTTTTCTCAGTTCTTGCTGTAACTGTAAGAAGAGTCTTGGACCTCGTGATGACATTTTCATGTACAGGTTTGGCTTATTATTTCTTTATTTTACATAACAATTTAATTTAAATTATGTGAAATTGAATTTAAATTATGGCTAATTAATAATTTTATGTGGTGATTTTAATTGCAGGGGAGATAGAGCTTTCTGTAGCAGTGAATGCAGGTCCATTGAGATGATGATGTCAGAGGAAAATGATATTAAATGAAATAAGTTTTTATTGAGTTATATATAAAAAAAAGTTATGATAATGACTATGATTAATAAAATGTTAGATATGATGAATTTTGTTTAGTTGCTTTTGTTTTGGTTTGGAGAAGAGTTTGGTATCTGTATCTATGTGTATTATGTGTCTACATGCATAATCATATATACATGTTTTACTTTAATGTTACTTTAAATCCTTAATAACAGTAGAGATCACATTAATTCAATTCCATTTGCGGTGTCAAGACAGAGAACTAAAACACGAGCATCAAAATTTAAGAAGGAGATATGATATCTATCCTTATTTTGAAAGAAAAAAAATTCATGTCGTTTATGTTTTGATCCTCGAACTAAGAAGTTTTGGACCTACACCCGAATCTTTTTTGATTGGCGATTGTACAATGTTAAATTAGTCGATTTTTCGCCATTAGAGTTTGAAATCGTGAATTTGAAAAATTCCTTGGATATACTAACCAGTCACCGAGCTATCGACGCTGGTATAATTTTTTTTTACTTTAACAAACCATATTTTGATATGTAGATAATAAACAATGAAATGACAATTCAAAAATGTAAAAGACAGTTGCAAAGATATGTCACATTGAGGATATTCAATGGCTAGTTACACGGAAATGATGTTGTAGATCAAGAAGCTATATGTGATATAACAACTTGTACTATTGCGAAGACTGAAGAGCATTATCTAATTTGATTTGATACATCAAAATCCTAATAATTTAAAGTCTTACTTGAACATCTTAAATGAGGATATTGGGTTTACAAAAAAAAAAAAATTGAGGATATTGAATTTTATTTGAGATAATAGTTGTAACAATTAATGAGTTTTGACTGTTAAAATATTTCTAAATTATGTATTTTAAAACAGTTAATCAAATAGTTTGACCTAAAAAAAAGAGTTAATGAAAGATAAAAATAGAAGAAAAAGTGATTGAATATATTTTTAAAGTATATATCACATGGTATATAACATAATAAAATAATTATTGAAACCGTATATATAATTATTCACTGTCAACACTAAAAACGCTGAACTTTTCTTTGTGCTGTTTTCGAGAAATGATATAAGATTTCCACTCCAATTAGCAAAAATAAAGCAATTTTGAAAGTATAGTTAAAATTAGTTTGACAGAAAAGAAAAAGAAAGGAAAAAAAAAAAGAAAAAGAAGAAGTTGAAATTCAAAAGTCCAAGCCCGTTAAGGATCAGGCTATTACCATTCTGGATCATGGACAAATTATGTTTGGTCCTCTATTGATTAATTAAACTAAAGCCCGAGCCCGTTTTAAATATTCTTGTTTTCGACTGATTTTCATAAATAGCATAATCTTAAACGGTCTGGTTTAATCCACATACCAACCGTACTAAACTGAAGTTCTTTTTTTTTTTTTTTTGACAGCTAAACCGAAGTTCTATAGATAGTGGTTTTCGTTATTAATTATTATGTTTGAAGTAAAAGCAATTTGTATGGTTACTATTGGTACTTTCTTTTATCATGATTTATTTAGTTGAACACAAATCAGCTGGATTGTATTTCCATGGACTTAAAACACATATAATATTGTTACACGTAGACCCAAATAACACTCGTTACTTGTTATAAGCTTATGAATCATTTACTAGTTTCCCGCAAGTCCGCAACTCGTAAAAGTCGGACCCATGAGTCTTACAAAATCCAACTTTGAAGTCAGCTTATGGCCCTACGAGTGGCGGCTTGATTGGCTAATACACGTGGTGGGCCAGATAAAATTCTTTGTTTGACAATTTGTTCTATTGTATTTTGAGGTTCGTAATACATTTTTCATTACCGTCCCGGTGAACAATTCATTTGGTAAAAACTGTATAGATACATCATGAAGTAATTCAAAATTCTCTATAGCTTCCATGTCTTTAACTCAATTTTTCACTATAATCTCAGCCAAGTTCGACTAGGCTATAATCGCGGATGCAGATCGGTTAATAATGTGACCATGATTTTAATGAAAGCTTGTTAAAACCCGATAAAGAATGAGATGTCCGAGAGAGCTCTAGGATTAGAGTTTAAAAGGCAATTGCATGTATTCCTTTATATTACTATTATAGTATTATCTGATCATTGGAAAGGTACATGATTAATCCTAACCAGACCACGCTTATATAAGTGCAAATTTGCATAGTATTTTGAATGGACACCATAATTTATAGCATATCGAAAACATAATTAAATAAACAAATTCGAGGGTTTGCGCATACAAACAAAGACAAACCCACATGCATTATGCATACATGTACACGTGAAATTTTATTTTTGGTTATTACTTAACATGCGACCATTAATTGAATCTTCTACTTCACAAAAAAGAAACAATTAGCTACCTTAATAAAAGAAAATGAATATTAGCTCAATTAGTTCAATAAGTAAAGGCTTCTCTATTCCGCTAATTTTGTCAAAACTCCAATCAAAGCGTCATTGTATTAATTATCAAATCACATGCATGCCCGAATAGGTTGATGATGATAATTAATTGATACAAAATTATCAAACCTAACTCAAACATATAGTTAAAACTGAGGTTTTCTTTCTTTGGTTAGACATCTTGTTCAGACTAAACACGTAACCGAAAATAAACTAGTATTGATTTACCATTCTTTCTATTTGTTTTGTTATAAAGATATCCCACGATTTTATTATTATCCATTTTAGGACATACATGAATGAGACATGTGATGGGTAGGACAAGCATTTCCATTTTGCTGCAAGGTCTAGAGGTTGAACGGAACCCAACGAACCTATTGGACATATGAAACCTGTTCTTGTATCCACCAATCAATTTTTCTACTCATACTAATTTTGCTTTTATGTCTCAAGATTTTTACTAGTCACACACCAAAGAATCCAAAATATGAATTTCTATATTCCCTGTATCAGTTCTATGGTGATCTTTTTATTATTATTTTAATTATCTAGTTGGGTTTGTAGGCATCCCCACATGCATATAGGTATGGCCCTTTACTACAACATCTTTGGTCTCATATGCACACATGGCAACTATAGCTGACTCTTGTTTCATTCACAAGATTCATATCGCTTATAATTGGTTGTGTATGATTCCTGGTATCATCATTTCATGTAATTATACAAGAAGAGATCATATATATATATATATATATATATATATATATACAATATTTAATATCTAATCCATTATAAGATAGTTATAATATCACTCGACTAACTATCTAATCTAATCTTAAATGTATACATTCGATCTATTTACTTTATGTTTCTAATCTCTTACATGTAACCTCCTAATAAGAACTGATTTTGACTTTTGTTTGTTAATGTAATTAATATGACTTTACTAGATCATCATTTATATTGGCCAAAGCTATAATCATTTGCTATCTTTTCATTTCTTTAATTATTTGTCTTCAATTATTGAGATTGATGTTAATTTTTGGAGAATATATGTAAGAAAGACCAACTTGGCCATGGCAAGCAACTACATATTATAGTAGTATTAAATATAGTGGATGAGAATCATTATATGACTCACGTTGAGTGGTTGATTGAATGTGTCAAGTTTGAATGTTTAATATAGTCAACTGAATACTAATGATGTTCTTAATTATGAACAGACTAAAATATTAATTAGGGCCATTTTGGAAAAAGAAAATCTTATGGCAGATACTCCCAATCCAACCAAATTTATTTATGTTGCCACGGCAACCAATCCCATTATAGATTTGATTTGATTAGCTATCCAACTCTTCTCATGAATAAATTTGTTATGTGTGTTTATACGTTTATGGCGAGCATAAAAGCTGAATATACCCACATTTTCTTTGAACTTGTACACTTAAACCGATAGTATTAGTTAATCTCCCTTTTTTGTTATGCTTGTGAATGAAGTAAAACTCCAATAGGCCGATATGATTATGTACATTGAAATTAAAATTATTGACATGATTCTTGAAAGTAACTTGAAACCAAACCCACACGAGCATGGCTACATGCCTACATATATGTAAAATATGTTCATCCTCATAATCATTAGTGGCATACTTTATACATGCATCATCAAGTTTTAATTTGCCATAAGAATCATTTAAGTCAAAATCTAGCTTAATATTAGGGCTTGAGTTGCCACATAAATTTCTTTCACCGATTTTGACTAGTAAAACCCATTTTGTTTATGTTTTTCTCCTTTATCGTAAATTACATCGTGTTTCATTAAAAGGTGCTTACATGATTATAAATAGTGATTTTACTATCTTCCATAGTCAAGCCTAGCTATCCACACATAAATGAACTAAATCGTAGCACGATAAATGTTATGAAACTTCTAAGAAACTAAGAAAAAATAATGGAAACACCATGCATACTTTTGAGTTTGAAGCCTAAATTTAGTCTTTAAACTTTAATTCCTTGTTCAACTACTTGATAAAACGTTATACGTTTAATTATTAAAGTACTAGTATATAATAACAAAGCATTAATTATGGAAAAATGATTCAGAAAAGTAGTCAATGGAGGAAAAAGTTGTCAGCATTATTGCAAGACAACGTCGGAAGTAACGCTCATGCTCATGTCTTGTAACTCTTCTTGTTGCATCTTATTCACAAATGCTTTATATTTTTTAAAGATAAGAAATTGCCCAAGTTGTTTCATAAATATGTTGTTTGTTTTCTGTGAAGATATCTTATATTAGCTACATGTATTATCCGTTTTTATGAAGCCCACTTGACATGAATCCTAAATGAATCTTCAACACACCCATTTGACATGGAACTGCTTACACATAAGTATAAAGTATTACTGGCGATTTATTTTTTTGGTTTTAGTGTTAAGATCTATTACTATATATAAGTATTAATGTTGTTAGCAAGCATTTCAAAAATAAATATTATGCACACTTATATGTGATGTGTTTATTTATACTATACATTAGTAGTGCATGATGACAGGGCAAATATAGACAAATCTATGGCTGAAAGTTAGTCACAAGCTTAGTCAAGCAACTGTCGAGAGAAGACATGACAAATAGGGTAACTGAAATTAACTAACCCTACGCTACATTGCATTCAATTTCTCTTTTTTCTTTATTTATTTATTTATTTATTTATTACAACAAAACTTTAACTGCCCACAGTTTATGCCTCGAGAGTCTGCCATTGAATAAATTGTAGTATATCTCTACTCCAAGACAAAACCTTTAACCGATGATAAAAAAAAAAGACAAAACCTTTAACCACAGACCACCTTGTGTATATATTTTTCTAATTATGTAGTATTATTTAACTTAAGATTAGAAATTATTTAACATTAAAGAAATTATAAATTATGTTCAATACGTTTCTAGGCCTAAAATAATGATAGATTCGAAAAAGTGGGAGTAAAATAGGCAGATTAGTTTTATCTAACTTTTCTTTGTTTTTAACAACTTTTCTTTGATATATTACTACATTATTAGCTTTTAGTTTTAGAACATCTTTTTTTTCTTTTCTGTGTGGCTAGAAGCCTAGAACTCATAGGCCTTAATTATTGTTTCTTCTTTTGGGGACGAGTGTGCTTGGATCTTTAAGCCGACCCATCTTTTAAGTTTAAGAGCGTTATGGGAATTTCATATTCATATGTATGTATATTACTCAGCTACAATTTATCTAGTTAAGTCGACAAGAAACTTTTACAAAAGCATAAAAAAAAAAAACTCCAAGCTTAGGTGATTATAACTTTATAAGCAAAAACAATTCTCTCATAAGTCATAACCCTAACAAATTCTGCTTTGACTAATAGACGATAAAACAAGAAAACTGATGATAAAAGCATATACGAAGATATTTCATGTATATGTGTTGTTTATATATAGATAGATAATGGTAAGAATCATATGTATGTGTGTGTGGATATAACAATTTTGGAGGAGATTGAGAGAAGTGTGGTATAATTGGGTAGGTGAGGGACCCTCCTAAATCCAACCACCTTTGTCTCTATTTCCACCATCTTATGTCCCTTAGAACATGGAGCAAATTATGGTAACACCTCTACCCTCTCTCTTTTTATTTTTTTTGACTAATTCTTTCTAATCTTCTTTATATTTATAAAATTATAATTTTATAATTTCCTGGTAATGACTACTTTTATAGACCAATAATATTACTCATAATAGTTTATCAGAAGTATATAAAAATGAAAAAATGTAAACATTTGATTTTTAAAAAATGCCCATAGATTTTTCGCCAAATTGTTTTTCCTATTGCCATTGAGACACCATAATGTCCGAACATGGCTACGTAATTGGTTACTGAACCCACGATAAATTTATCTGACAACACCGGTGATGATTAGAAATCTACACATAGATTCAATGATTCATATGGTTTTTAGACTATATAAATATTTTCATATACTCAGTATTTTATTAATTAGTCAATTAAAAATATTATACAGTATTTACGACCGCCCAAAAAGTAAAAAAGATATATTTACGACCGCCCATTTTATTTGTGTTAGTGTCGTCGTTTTGTCACTATCCAAATATAAATCCATATCATCTATATTGTTAGTAAAAAAACCAATGTAACCGTTAGATTTATTACTCTATCTGCCCAATTATACACATCGCTCTAGAGTATAATATTATTATTTATTGAAAGTGTCGAGAGCCGGCCAAAATATGCAACATATAAAGCGATTAACTTTGGTGTTTTCATTACCCACAACACAAAACCATTCTCCATCAACCAAAAAAAAAACATTTTTTGTTGTTTGTTTGCTATATTGAAGCTTATAGGCTTTTTTGGTGAAAAATGGAGATTGAATCTGTGAGATGCGAGTGTTGTGGGTTAATGGAAGATTGCACACAAGACTACATTAGTGAGGTCAAATCTAACTTCGACAACAAATGGCTTTGTGGTCTCTGCTCTGAGGCCGTGAGGGACGAAGTAAGTCGCCGGAAGATGACCACCGTTGATGAAGCCCTTAAGGCCCACGTGTCATTTTGTGGCAAGTTTAAGAAAGATAATCCGGCGGTTCATGTGGCCGACGGTATGAGGCAGATGCTACGTAGGAGGTCCGGTGACTTGACGACTTCCTCTACGTCCAAGAAGTTTGGTAGATCTAACACCACCAAGTTGTACTGATCCATTTTTCTTCTATTTCGTTAATTAATTAATGTATAATATTTGATGCTTCTTTTTTTCTTGTTTTGTTTAATGTCATAAATAATGGTCGGTGATGCTATAACTAATCAATTAATTTCATTCAGACTTGTCATTTAGTTTCCACTGATCAGTTCTATCTCTATAAACTTTGATACTTCTCTTAAGCTATAAACATGGCCAAAATTTATTTATTTTTATAAAAAAAATGGCCAAAATTATCCATGAGAAAACCATAGTGCTTAATCTTGAATTTACAGGTCTTTGTTAAGAAGATCGTGTTGCCTTTTTCAACTACTGAATTGAGCTAATCATTTCCATGTTATGTTATGTAAGCATTTGCTTGGTAACCAAGAAGTTCTAGAACATGTTAAGTTAGTAATCGACCTCGTGATTCTGAAAATTCTATATATACATTTGGATGGCTCAGTTGACCTACTAACGATGCGAAAGTTTAATGACAAGTTCTTTAATCCGTCACTTGCTGCACAAAAACTATCACATTCGTCATCTATTCAAATGTCTTTAGCGTTTCTTGAAGATTACACACTTAGTCCTCTTCGAGTTGGTCACATATATAGTCCAAGCATTTACAAGACCACATTGAAAGTACTTGTGAAGAGACAAAAATATAACTTAACTGAAGTTTCAAAATTTTCTTTGATAATTAATAGTCTACACTTTTCTGATTTTAAACCCTTCGATCATACCATGTGTTTTCATTGAATATTCTGCCACAAAATTTCCACAATTATTCCATCAGACCAGTCTCCACAACCGCATCGGATAGAGCACCTGGCGTAACCGTAACGCCGTGAATCTCCTTCCCTCCCGTAAAGGCAGAGGGTGACAGCGTCAGAATTGGCATAGAGCTCAAACCATTCAGAGTAATCTCAAGTTCTTACAGGTAAACCTACACTTTTAATTTGGGCTGATAATGGGCTTTTGAGTTCATCTAAACAAATGTCTATTATTCATCTAAACAAATGTCTATTACTAGTGATCACAAATGTAACAGAACTCATTAAATAGAGGCCTAATTTAGAGCTCCATCTATTGGACTTCAAAAACTGGAACTCTGGAAAAGACTGCATCAAATATCCATCAAATGTTTTTATTCTACTTTTATTTACACCAGCTATTGCCATTGAAACTTTTATTTACACCAGCTATTGCCATTGAAACTTTTATAATCTATATTTTATTTATTTATGTTAACTGATATTTTGATCTAGTGCAAATATCATCAATTTAAAGCTAATCGTTTAGTAGATAGGTTAGTATCTTATGCATTTTCGTTAGATTTGGATTTTTTTTTGGTTTGATTGTTGTCCGGACATAGTAAATCCGATATTATTGGAGGATACTAATGAGACTGCGTTCCCACAACACGTTCGAATATAATTCTTTTATTTTATTTGAATAAATTGAAGGTGACAATCGTCTCTCCTCCTCCCATCAAAAGAAAAAACATCATCAATCTAACGTTTAACACTTACATAATTTAAAGTTTTCTAGTCGACTTAGACAATATTCTTCTGTTCACACACATGTCAACATTTTTTTGGACTTTTTAGTTTCACTTCATATCCTTTACGACTATAATATTTGTCCGTGACATATAATTTTTTCTTCAAGTTACACTTGCATCCAAATATCCAATAGAACCAATACTGATGCTACATATGATTTATTTTATTATTATCTATTTTTAATTTGGGTTTTATATTTCCTAAAGAATAAAACTCCAAAAAAAAAAAACCTGTTTCTCTAAAATTACATATGTACTATGCATATCTTAAGTTGGTTAAATTTAAATATAAAACTGGCATAAAATTTCTATCATTTTTGGGGGTATATAAGAGAAGTATAAAGAAAAACCTTATCAAAATTCGGGTGAAAGAAAACCAAAAACCAAATTTATGTGGCCAAATTGATAATCTAATGGATGAAAGGAAACGAGAATCACTTTGGTTCACAAAAAGCAAAATATTCTTTAAAATCTTCTCATTAGGAAAGACCAAAGAAGTTTTGTTGCGTCTCTTTTACTACCAAACATTTGTATGTCTCTATCTTCCGTACGTGTGCAATTACATTATGTCCACTATGTTAATTTTATAAGCTGCGTTTTTCTCTCTAAATAAGAAAATTTGCACGACTCTAATGGAACACATTTATGTGGTATAATTTTTATTTATTTATGGGAATAAAAATTCATTTAACGGTGTATTATTACATATAATAGTAATTTTATAATCAATTAATTAGTAAACTACCCTCTTCGTTTCGAATTACATGTCGTTTAAGGTTTTTGCACACAAATTAATAAGACAATTAAATTTTATGTTTTACCTTTCATTGAAATATTCTATAAATTTTCTCATTGGTCAAGACATTAAAACAGTAAGAATAAACCTGAAAACATTACAAAACATCTACATTGAAAACCTAAAACAACATCTATTATAAAACTTACGTCTACAACGCTACATGAGTGATATACGCCAATGGAAAACGATGTTCACATCTATCAAGCTTGGTTTCCAATACCGCGAAGGAAATTTATGTGCAGATATCTTGGCAAAAAAAGTTCTATATTGTAATGAGTTATGGTGTTTGTATCATACTTGTCCTCATTTTATAAGCATTCTTGTAAGCCATGATAACGATTATGAAAGCTAATAAAGTTTTTAGAAGGAAAAAAAACAAAAATTAAGTTCTAAAACGATAACTAAATTATAACGGAGGGAGTATTTTATCCTTAATTAATTATAAAACTCTTGGCATATTTGAAACATGTTACAAGAATGACTCAAGGAATACAACTTTTAAGTATTCATAAAGTTTGGAAAAAAATATTGAGAACTTTTTCACCTTTTTTTGTCTTTAAATCAGCACGAAAGCTGTGCATACAATTGTGCATATTCCATTTTCCTAAATACACATGTCCTACATAAGTACATGTCACTTTTTTTTTTTTTTTTTTAACATAACACTTTTTTTCTTCTAATAGATACGAGGTAATCACTTATCACAGTCATAATCACAGTGTTTGTTCATTAATTTTTCGACATAGAAATATAAAACCTAAGTATCTGATATTCATTAAAAGTTTTCAAAAGTTAAATATAGATTATTTGTTGTAATTGTTTAAATAATCTGATTTTTAATGACATAACGATTGATAATATATTTATTTAAATTATGAATCAATAATTAGATTTCATAGACAATATGACAAAAGAAAAAAAAATAGATTTCATAGTACAAAAATATGAAAATCAACTTCAAGAATCTCATTATAGTTTCATGAGTTATTTAGAAATGAATCGCATAATTAAGTTATTATTATACTACAATAAAAGAGGGGTATATTGGTAAATTAAGAAATGCCCTTATCTCATTTCCGATCCTCCTTCTTGGTGCCGCCTTCGCACCCATTCATAAAAAAGGAAAGACGCAATCTTTTCTTGTCTCTTCCATTCTTCATAAAGCTTTCCTCTTTCACTTTCTATTCTCTTTAATCCGTTTAAATCCAATCTCAAAATCCAATCTTTCGATCAAATTATCCACTTTTCGATTACAAAACTCCAACAATTTACCGATTTGTGTTTTAGGGTTCTATCGTTTTTGTTTATGATTTTGATTCCCATAAAGATTCAATCAGTTTTCTCATATCTCTTATTGCTGAACTTGATCCAATCGATCGATAAACCAAACCCAGAAGCTATGAGAGTCCACCCAATTCCCAGAAACCTCAACAACACTTTGATCCATCATCATCATCATAACCCGACCCGAGAACCCGGAAAGAATCTCCGGCGTTTACCACATATCTTCAACCGTGTTCTGGAGCTACCATTGAGGTCAGAGGCAGATGTAACAGTGGAGGAGAGACACGACTGTTTTCGATTCGTGGCGGAGACGGTAGGTCTTTGTGACGGTGATGGAGAAATGAGGGCTTATATGGTTGAGATTCATCCGGGTATAACCAAGATCGTTGTTAGGACAAATGGGTCGTCTTCTCTTGGTTTGTCTTTAGACGAGTTAGAGCTTGACGTGTGGCGTTTTAGGTTACCGGAATCAACTAGGCCTGAGCTTGTTACTGTGGCTTGTGTTGATGGTGATTTGATTGTTACTGTGCCTAAGAACGCTGAAGAAGAAGATGATGATGATGGTGGTGGTGATTTTGGACAAGGTATGGGTAGTGGAAGGCTAGTGCTTGTTCAGTGAATCAAGTAATGTTCTTTATGTAATGATGATGATACTCTTTGAGAGAAGACAAAACTCTAATCTTCCTCGTTTCGTTGATATTGTGTAGCCTTCTGTTTTTCTTGCTGGCAATAAAAGAAAGTTTGAATTTTTGATCTCTCATTTTGTATAATCAAGAAGGGTTATTTGAAGATGTATTAAACAAGATAATGAAACACAAAAAGGTCTAATTTTTTCATCAACTAACGGATAGTTTTGACTTTCCATAGTACATTACATGAAATAGACAAAAGGGCCAAGTCTAAAATAGGTTTCAAGACTCTTAACATAAACCAAAAAGCTACATGACACAACAAGACTGGCTAAAGGTTATGAAGGATACATGAGGAGGCCAGATTTAGAGGAAGAAGCCTTTGAGAGGAGTGAATTTAGAGAGGATCTCTGCTTCACGTTTGAGTGCATTGTCCTTCTTGCATTCCCATTCAGGCTTCTTTGAATTAGCTGATTGAACTTCCTGTACGACTTTCGGGATCGAGTTCGCTACCATTTTCTGACCGTAGCTTAAATCAACCCTCTCTTTCTCCTTGGTCCCGATGTACCGCTTCAACTCAGCCCGTCTGGCTTGAAGCTGAGCAATTTGGTCATCGATTTGACGGACTGTCTCAGAGTTTGAGTCTACTTCCATTTGGATACTCCCTAGTTTTTCCTTCAGGTCGCTGTATTCGTATTTAAGCGATGCTACCTTGGCTTTGTTGAGCTCCAGCGCAGAGAAGAACCTATCTGCTTCTTCAATCACCCCTTTGTTCTCTTGGAACACTTCGCTGAACGTTGGAATCTCTTCCATCAGCTTCAACCTCACTATCTCTTCAGCAGTAAGGTTTGGATCTTTCCTCAGTTTCGTTGCTAATGCTGCTATCTCTGCTGCGTCCTTGGAGAGGAACAAAGTAGTGAAATCCTTCTCCAGAAGAGATGAAATCTTCATTCGAGCTTCAGCCCATTCGTATTCTCTCATTGGAGAGCTTACACTAACAAGAACAGACGAGTCTCGCCCATCCTCTTCTGGAGGCTGCTGCATAAGGTTATCAAGAGAGTTCAGGTAGCTGTCAAACTCTTCCGGGTTAACATCGATAGGCGAGTGTGAGACCGCAAGGACACCATTCATAGGAGAGACATAGATATGAGGAATAGAAACATCTTCTTCCTCATAGGTAGCTCCACGTTTCTTTCTCTTGTTACCAGTCTTTGGTGCAGTAGCAGGTTCACCCTCCTCCTCATTGAGGAAGTTCAAGTCCACAGCACCACCGCGCTGCTGGTTTGAGGCGCGTCTTGCAGATTGCCGAGATGATTTCGGTTTGGTCGAGGATTGCGGTCCAGTGGCAGGAGTTGTGGCTCCTTTCTTCCTCTTGTTGCTGCTACCTTGGGGAGTTGGTTTAGGTTTCTCTTCAACAGGTTCATATGTTTGTGTTGGCATTGGTTTCCTCTTCCTTTGGCTGTATCGGGAATTTCCATCTTTTTTCCCATCCTGAGCATTCTCATCATTCTGGCCAACCTCGGTCAGTACTTCCTTCGGTGTCTCCTCAAAAAGAGACGCAGCATCAACTACAAAAGAAAGAAAACATGTTGAATTGGTTAATTCAAATCAGCTACAAAATCTTAACCTTGCAAAGCTATCAAATTACCTTTATTTGCAGGCTGGAAGAGAGCTGGAATCTTCCAGCTAAAAGATGCAAAGAATGCATCAGCATCCATGCCTGGGAAATTCGATTGGAGATAACGAGCAAGAGTGGCTTTGCTAGCGAAAGACTTAGGGACATTCTTTTGCTGAAGCCTTTGAGGGAGAATAAGAAACCTATCCTGATGATACCCAATAGCAGTCACTCTCCTCCCAACTCTCCAAGTCCAAACATCACCAGGGCTTGGCCAATCAACAGGCGCATATGGCAGACCTTGACCAGTTGTAACCGGCGGAATCGCAGGAAGTTGATTGAGATCGGTTTCCCCGTGAGTGAAAGAGCTGTTGTCTACACTTCTCTGTCCATTTTCCTTTACCTGAGAGGGCTCTGGATCTTCAATGGCCTCCTCCCTACTGAAACCGTTTTCCCAGAAGTCATCGTTCTCTTGCTGAGTGCGGTCAAGATGATCCGAATCATTTTCTCGGTAAGTTGAAAGCGGGACAGGTTCATTGTCTCGGTAAGTAGTGATTGGGACTGGTTCCGTATCAAACCTGCATGCAAATTAGCAATAGATGAGCTGAAAGAAGAGTGTGATAAATAAAACAAACAACATACACATCAAATCATTTGCCTTCTCCATATCACCAATAGACAAACAATGTAATAAACATTTCATTATATCGTAATTCGAAACAAGATGAAAAACAAAACATGGAGACTTCAGACCCACACCATAGTCAACCCTAAAGACACATCCTTTATGGTAGCAGCAGTTAGAATAAGAACCCTAACTTTTGCTCAACGTAAGTCTCATCTAAACTCAAGAAATGTTGAAGCTTAGGTCAGAATTTAGAACAAATATCAGCTAAACACTACAATACAAGTCTAAGAGAGGGAAATTGGTCTCATTTCCGGACATAAACCCATCAAAAGCTCTAATTATTTCAAGAAATCAAAGCAAAGATTCAGACACACGATAACAAAAACAAAACCAGAGAAAACAAAACAAAACAAGTTAAACCAGAGAAAACAAAACAAAACAAGTTTTTGTTCGCAATTATAAACATAGCTATAGAGAAAATGAAGTACCCAGGAGGATTTTGAACGATCTCTTGCATATCTATCGGAGAATAAAACGGAGCAGACATGACCACTCAAACCCTAATTTCCTGCGGAAGAGAAACACAAACACCCATTAAAGCAAAATTGAGAAAAATGAGAATTCGGAATGAAAATCAACGGTGGAAATATTAAAGCTATGCACATTGTGTGGTTAAGAAGCAGTACGAACAATTTTCAAAAGCAGATCTAACCTTTTTTCACTCTCTTCTTCTCCTTCTTCTGACTCTGTAGATGTGGTTTAGTCTTGATTCTTGAAGCTGAGATCAAAATGAAACGAATAAACGAGGAATTGTGAATTGACTATTATGCCCTTACGGTGTACAGTCCCTTTTTGGAGGATTTTTTTTTTTTTTTTTTTGGGTTTTCATGTAATTGACGTGTTGCACAGTAAGTCTTTTTTTTTTTTTCGCCAAGTCTTTTTTACTTTATTGACCGATTTACCGTAATCGCTCTTACGCAAATTTAGTCTTTCATTTGCACCATTTTCTAGTGTCAAGTGTCAAAACAAAATTCTCTTTTATCTTTTCAAAAGTTTAACACGAAATAAACGAAGTTTTTCTTCCAATCAAATGGTAGATACCATAAGTCACATCTAAAATTCGAGATATTTCTTTCACTTTCTTTCCAAAATTCATTTTAGAGAAAACCTTTAAAATTGTCCAATACGAAATTACATTAGGAAAACTGTTCATCACAAATACAAATGATTACATCAAATAAACATAGATCTTGATTCATATATTCTATGATGACTGATGAATAACATTTTTTCTCCACCCATTTTTCCAGATTCTTTGTATCATACATTGATCTAATTATACACCAAAAATGATATAAATCGTCCAAGCTACTGCTTTAATGACTCCCACGCAAATGTTCTTCATGGAGTATCATCAATTGTTCAGCTACCTAACAAATCACACGATCGAAGTTAATTAGTCTATACACAAGTAAATTAATAGTCTACATATTTAAGAGAAAGTACCTCTTCAATGCTGCCATCTTCGATCTCTGTGTTGAAAGAGAGAAGCAAGCTTTCATGTAGCAAATTCTCTATTTCTTCCACCGTAATCACTACTCATATCATAATGTTGATATCAATATCTTCATGATCGACTGTAACATAAATTCGAAAGAATGGGAAAAGAAAATCATACCGTTTGATTGAGAGAAGAGATGAAAGAGATGTTGAGCTAGCTCTTGAGATTTCTTGAGAGAATCATGGCCTCCCCATTGGTTCTTCACGGCCATTTGAAGCCCGCCCCACCGCGAAAGAAGCTCTTCGATGTCTCTTTGAAGAACAGAGTCGTCGGCCACAGAAGGCACGTGCTTGTGATGCCATGTGTTGGAGACTACGTGAGCGTTGAACGTTATTCCACCGGTTCCCATATCTTTGGTCTTTCCGGCCGAAGACAACGGTTCTTCCGCCTTGTAACTCCGTAAAACAAAACGGAGAACAGAAGCTGGAAGATTTTGTGTATGGGAACACAGAGAGGACAAAAATAAACGTTGTGTTTTTCTATTGTATACTCTTGTTTTCTAAAATGAAAAAGAGAAGAAAAAGAGAAAGCAACGAAAAACAAGGATCTAGAGAGACCCGAAGAGTTAGGGGAAGTTTTTGAGTTTTATTAGACCGACCAAGATTTGTTATTTGACTTCCGACAAATAGGTTACTTCTGTTTCCAACCTTTTCTTGATGTTATGTTTTGTCTTAAAACTGAAACGTGTCTACAACAACAAAAATATATATTGAAACGTACGTGTCCACCAATGTGATACGACGCATGTGGTAACGTTGGAAACAGGTCCTTTTTCATTCTTAAATCTAAATGACAAATTTACAAAAAGAAAAGTAAAATCCCTATCTCAATCTAAGCTTCATCATGTTGCTATAAACTTGTAAACTGACACGAGTGTCCTAGTCACCACATTGAAAGGTGTCAAAATCTCATAATGTTGTCACTCTCTTTATATAATAGAAATACTCAATCCTGCTAGGAGTTATCGTAGTTTGTAACAGAACATTAACGTAACAAAACAAAGATGAGCCAAGAGCAACCAAGTAGGCCAAAAGAGCCAGTCAAATACGGGGACGTTTTTGAAGTCTCCGGTGAACTTGCCGATAAGCCCATAGCACCTGAGGATGCAAAGATGATGCAATCTGAGGAGACACGAGTGTTCGGCCATACTCAAAAAGGCGGTCCAGCTGCCGTCATGCAATCTGCAGCCACCGTCAACAGACGCGGTGGCTTCGTCCATCCAGGTGACAAAACTGAGCTTGTCGCTGAACGAGGCGTCACCGTGGAGCAAACAGTCCCTGCTTCAACTGTCACAACCGAATTCGTCGGTGGACAGGTGGTTTCCAAAATTACGTACTTCTTTTTCATATATTCATCTTTTGTTTTGGGGTAATGGTGAAGCTTTAGGTGGTCGGACAACATGTTGAACCGAGGCGCATAGTCGCTGCAGCACGGACGGACGAAGAAGCTTTGCAAAGTACAATAACGATTGGAGAAGCATTAGAAGCGACCGTGAAGACCGCTGGAAATAAACCGGTGGATCAAAGCGATGCAGCAGCGATTCAAGCGGCAGAGATGAGAGCTTCGGGTACCAACGTCATTGCTATAGCAGGAGTCGCCGCTTCAGCTCAATCCGCAGCGGATTACAACGCTACCGTAGATCGGGACGAGAGGAAAATCAAGCTTAGAGATGTTTTAACGGTTAAACCCTAATTTACAAAACATTTTCATCAATGTTTTATGTATTTCTTGAACAGTAGTGTTTACATGTTTTCGAACGGGATGGATGATTAGGGTGCGGCGGGGAAGTTATCGGCAGATAGAGCTGTGACTAGGGAGGATGCAGAGGGAGTGGTGAGCGCCGAGATGAGGAATAACCCTAAATTGTGTACTCACCCTGGTGGTGTAGCGGCTTCTCTTACCGTCGCTGCTAGGCTTAACGAGAGAGTCGATATATGACATGACAAATCCCGCAAGAGGAGGATGATTGTGTTTGTTTGTTTGTTTGCTTGTCTCACAACTTAGGAAACATGTGATGTAAAATCTGTCTAGCTTTTTGTTCTGTTGTTACAAAAAGTTCAGTAATAGTGTTAAGGATAGGAAAAATGGTGACTTGGGTTTAAAGTAAACCTTTCTTTAGCTGATATGTGAAAATCCGGTAAGGGGAGGACGGTGTTCAGAAGCTTGTGATATATAAAATCGCCTAGCTTTTGTTCTTGTTTTGTTTCTTTCTGTTTAAAAAACTTCAACGATGATGTTAGAATGGAAAATTGGGGACTTTCTAGTTTGAAGTTAAAAGCCATTCCTTAGCTGATTTGCTTCAGAACTAATTCATAAGAAAAAGTAACACAACTGATCTATATATAATAAAATGGGAATCCTCCAGTCTAATGTTTTTGTAACATTTTAAAACATCTGAGCTTTAACCAAAAAACCACAAAAAAAAAAAAGAGAAAATAGCTTTTACTAGCTCAAACTGGCAGCTTCAACAAAAACACCTTGATTTTACCTTCTTTCTTCCTTATCCTGATCTGATACTTAGCTTCAAATTCTGTAAGATCTTTTTTCTTCTTGTCCAATGACTCGTATATATATAGCTTCTTCACAACCTCTTCGAGCACTTGTTGCATTGCACAGCTGGGAGAACCTCTTTGATGGTTCTTCTTCCGACCAGAACGCCTCCTATCATGCAGAAACATTTCTTTGATTGATCGAGAGGCTGACTGGCGTTGATGACCAGAGAGTGTTGGCTCACTTGGATCTCGAGTTCAGTTATGTTGGAGTAGGTTTGGCTTAGCTCTGATCTCATGGCTTCATAGAAGTTCATGTTGTTTTGTTGTCTTAATGTTGAAACGTGTCCAATGTTGGTAATATTAAATGACAAAACCCTATCTCGGTTGGTCTGAATCATCATTTTGCTATAAACTTGGAAACTAACACGTGTGTCTTAGTCAACAAGTGTCAAAATCTCATAGTGTTAGTCTCACACTCATGACTCATGACTCATGACTCATGAACCTCTCTTTAATATGCTGTATCTCTCTAGGAGTTGTTGTTAGTTTGCAACACAAAACTGAACATAACAAAACAGAGAAATGAGTCAAGAAGACCAGCCAAAGCGGCCACAAGAGCCAGTCAAATACGGCGACGTTTTTGAAGTCTCCGGTGAACTCGCTGATAAGCCTATAGCGCCTGAGGATGCAAACATGATGCAAGCCGCGGAGACACGTGTGTTTGGCCACACTCAAAGAGGCGGTGCAGCCGCCGTCATGCAGTCTGCAGCCACTGCCAATAAACGCGGTGGATTTGTCCACCCAGGTGACACAACTGACATCGCCGCCGAACGAGGTCTCACGGTGGCGCAAACTGACGTTCCTGGTGCACGTGTCACAACAGAATTTGTCGGTGGACAGGTCACAACTCAAGTCCAAAATTACAAATTTTTTTTTTACAATAATTTTTTACTAATGGTGAAGATTTTTTTTGTCATAGGTCGTTGGACAATACGTTGAGCCGAGACCGGTGGCTACTGCTGCAGCAACGGAAGCAGAAGCGGTGGGGTTGAGTTTGCAAAGTGCGATCACGATTGGAGAAGCATTGGAAGCAACTGTGCAAACCGCTGGAAACAAACCGGTGGATCAAAGCGACGCAGCAGCGATTCAAGCGGCAGAGGTTAGAGCTTCTGGCACTAATGTGATTGCTCCTGGTGGAATTGCCGCTTCCGCTCAATCTGCAGCGAATCACAACGCTACCATAGACCGTGACGAGGATAAAATCAAGCTAATTGATGTTTTGGCGGTTAAACCTCATTTTTAAAAACACTTTCAATGTCTAATGTTTTAGTTTAGCAGTGTATAAAATGTTTTTGAACCGGATGGCGTCTTATTAGGGTGCCACGGTGAAGTTAACCGTTGATAAAGCTGTAACGAGGCAGGACGCAGAGGGAGTGGTGAGTGCTGAGCTGAGGAACAACCCTAATCTGTCTACTCATCCCGGTGGTGTATCGGCTTCTATTACCGCAGCCGCTAGGCTTAACGAGAGAGCTGATATATGAAAAACCCGCGAGAGGAAGATGTTTTGGTTCTGTTGTTCAAAAAAGTTCGGTGATAATGTTAGTATGTAAAAAATGGTCCGGTTATAAAGTTGAAACCTTTCTCTAACACAACTGATCTACATAAATATGGCATTTCTCCGGTCTACTAGTTTTGTAACATTCAAAACATGTTGATTTTTCCAGAAAAGGTCACGGCTTTTAACCATACGATCCAAAAAAGAGATACAACAGTAAAACAAAACGAGAGTTTTTACTGGCTCGAACTGGCAGCTCCAACAAGAACACCTTGAGCATTACCTTCCTTCTTGTTACCTTCTTCCTTGTTATCGTCTTGTTTCCTTATCCTGATCTTATACATAGCTTCAAACTCTGTAAGATCTTTCTTCTTCTTCTCCAATGTCTCGTATAGCTTCCTCACAACCTCTTCAAGCCCTTCCTTGTTACGTTGGACAGCTGGGAGTACCTCTTTGATGGTTCTCTCGACAAGAACGCCTCCTATCATGCGGAAGCATTTCCTCGATTGGTCAAGAGGCTGAATGGCGTTAATGACCAGAGAATGTTCGCTCACTTGCATCTCTAGTTCGGTTATGTTGGAGTAGATTTGGCTAAGCTCTGATCTCTTGGCTTCATACATGTTCAAAACAGCTTGCTCATTCGGCGGTTCTCTTAGACCACCGCTTCCAGATTTGCTGGCCATTGCTTTGATCCTACTACAGAAAAAAAGTTAGGGTCCAAGAAATCAGGAATTACTTCATATTTGCATAGTTGAAGAAAACAATCAAGAAACTCAAACAACACTCAGAGAAACATTTTGCCATCTGACAGAACTACAAAACCTGAAAGATTGTTGTTACAAAACACTTCCAAGCACATAATGTGGCTAAACCAATGCAGCAAAACTATCTTACCTAAAGGATGATTCATACTTAATTCAATACTTAAGTTATATACTGCAAAACATAGTGAGGCATAATGCCTTTTAACCAGATCAAGATCAATCCTACAATCATTCCATCACCATCTTGTCGCATCAATACAATCAACGAACAATCACGCCCTTTTCTATCAGCTTTATCAACCAAAAAACCTTCAAATAGATCCAAACCAATGACATAGCATATCCTCCAGAATCCATCAGTCTCATAGCATCAAATCCACTTATATAAGTAGAAGCAACCACTAACAGTGTATACTCCAAGCTCAAACTACTAGGGCCATTTCTCCAAACTAGGGTTTCGACGTCTACTTGTATCAAACTCGACACATCGATTCCATGACTAGGTTACTGTTTCCTCAACTAATCTAGGTTAAGATTCTAACATCAAAGAATCTTGATCGGGATCGAGGAAGTTTGAGATCGATATCGACACAAACCTTAAGACAACTTGAACTAAGAAAAAAAGAACACAAATCAACAAATAACAAAAAGAAAAAAACTTACTTTTAGAAACGAATCCACACACGAGGAAGAAGAAGATCGGAAAAAGCTTCGCTTGAGAGGAAACAATCCAGAGGTTGATGCCGAAAACGCGGCGCAGAGAGCGATGATGAAGAAGAAGAAAGAAGAAGAAAGAACAAGGGTTTGGTTTAACTCGTATCTTTCCCCAATTAAAACCGGTTTAGTCTTTAAATCAAAAATTGAACCGGTTTAAATAATATGAATTATCAAACCGGAATTTTATTTCCTTCGTCTCACTCACACAACACAAAAATCTCAGAGAAAGGAACAAACGATTCATATGAAGAAGATGATGATATTGATACAGAGATTAAAAGCTTCGAACTTTACTCAGATTCTTGATAAAGGTACTTTGAGAACTTCTTTATTACACTATTCTTGTATCAGCGAAGCGAAAGTTTCTTATAAAGAGAGATTGAGAAATGGGATTGTTGATATTAAGGTTAATGATGCTATTGATCTCTTCGAATCCATGATTCATTCTCGTCCTTTACCTAGTCTAATCGATTTCAGTAGATTGTTCAGTGCTGTTGCTAGAACGAAACAGTATGATTTAGTGTTAGGTTTCTGCAAGGAAATGGAATTGAATGGGATTGAACATAACATGTATACTATGAACATTATGATCAATTGCTTTTGTCGAAAAAGGAAACTTTTTTTCGCTTTTTCGGTTCTTGGGAGAGCTCTGAAACTTGGGTTTGAGCCTAATACCATCACGTTTTCGACTTTGATTAACGGGTTTTGCCTCGAGGGGAGAGTTTCTGAAGCTGTGGCTTTAGTTGATCGGATGGTGGAAATGAAGGAAAGTCCGAATGTTGTGACGGTTAACACGTTGATCAATGGACTTTGTCTTAAGGGTAGAGTGACTGAAGCTTTGGTTTTGATTGATAGGATGGTTGAATATGGGTGTGAAGCTAATGAGATTACTTATGGACCGGTTTTGAATAGAATGTGTAAGTCAGGGAACACTGCTTTGGCTTTGGATTTGTTTAGAAAGATGGAAGAAAGAAGTATCAAAGCTAGTGTGGTTCAGTATAGCATTGTTATTGATAGTCTTTGTAAAGATGGGAATCTCGATGATGCGCTTAGCCTTTTTAATGAGATGGAGATGAAAGGGATCAAAGCAGATGTTGTTACCTACAGTTCTATAATAGGAGGTCTTTGTAACGACGGTAGATGGGATGATGGTGCAAAGATGTTGAGGGAGATGATCGGAAGGAATATTATCCCTAATGTTGTCACATTTAGTGCTTTGATTGATGCTTTTGTGAAAGAGGGGAAGCTTTTAGAGGCTAAGGAGTTGTACAATGAAATGATCACAAGAGGTATAGCTCCTGACACCATTACATATAGTTCCTTGATTGATGGGTTTTGCAAGGAGAATCGGCTAGGTGAGGCTAATCAGATGTTGGATCTGATGGTTAGCAAGGGATGTGAACCTAATATCGTGACTTATAGTATTCTCATAAATAGTTACTGCAAAGCTAAGAGAGTTGATGATGGTATGAGACTTTTCCGTGAGATTTCTTTGAAAGGGTTGGTTGCTGATACAGTCTCTTATAACACTCTTGTCCAAGGGTTTTGTCAATCGGGAAAACTTAATGTTGCTAAAGAACTCTTTCAAGAGATGGTTTCTCGTGGCGTGCCACCAAGTGTTGTAACTTATGGTATTTTGCTGGATGGTTTATGTGACAATGGAGAACTACAAAAAGCATTGGAGATATTTGAAAAAATGCAGAAGAGTAGGATGATTCTTGGTATTGGCATCTATAATATCATCATTCACGGGATGTGCAATGCTAGTAAGGTCGATGATGCGTGGAGTTTATTCTGTAGCCTCTCTGTCAAAGGAGTGAAACCTGATGTTTTGACATACAATGTAATGCTTGGAGGACTATCTAAGAAAGGCTCGTTGTCTGAAGCCAATATGCTGTTTAGGAAAATGAAGGAGGATGGGTGTGCTCCGAGTGATTGTACGTACAACATACTTATCAGGGCACATCTCGGAGGTAGTGGGGTAATCTCTTCAGTTGAACTCATCGAAGAAATGAAGATGCGTGGGTTCGCCGCAGATGCTTCCACCATAAAGATGGTTATCGTAATGTTATCAGATGGTAGATTGGACAAAAGCTTTTTGGATATGCTTTCTTGATTGTCTAATCTGATCTACAAGAGATAGAGCCAGTATTTTTTGTTTGTAATTCCAAATCAACTCAATATTGTACCAAGCTTTTGGCTATTTATAAAGTATTGATGTTGTGGTCCTCTTGTCACTGTTTTTGGTTGCACAAGATTTCAAACATAGAGAGCAAAAAACTCAAAACCAGAAACTTTCTAGAAATGGATTGTTCACAATAGCAGACAAACTACTTTTGAGTTCACACAAATGACAAGATTCAGACAGAATCTGATTGTATCACCAAGAAGAAAGGGGCCGGGAACAGATTCAGGGCTCAAAGGTCATAGTCTCTGCCTCTTTCCTTGCTGCATCGAACAGTACAGTCGACAGATATCGTTCCCCAAAACTCGGGAACACCGCCTACAAACATTCAGTTCACATCTCTTATTATAAGATCAGAATCCAAAGAAAGAGCTTCCATGAGTTAGTTCAAGGTTTGTTCTGTATTTTGGGTTTAAGACAAAACTAGAGAGGCAAACTTGTGAGCTTTTTGATAAAACTTACCACAATAAGCTTCCCAGCATTTTCTGGCCTCTTTGCAAGTTTGATTGCTGCGGCAGCTGCTGCTCCAGATGAGATTCCCACCTACAATACATAGGAGGAGACAAATGTGATAACCGCCGCAATCAAGAAACTGTATTTTTTCTTTCATGGTTGAGGATAAAGTTGAACCAAGACATTTCTGGTTTAACATGGAACTCTGATGAGGTAAAATGTGAAGCACTTACTAACAGACCCTCTTCCCTAGCAAGAAGCCTTGCCATGTCAATCGATTCTTCACTTGAAATCTGCGTAAGCGTTACAAAACGATAAGTGGCAACTAAGAAATGTGTGGTCTCTTCCATACAGTGTGTTTTGGAGTCAGCAAGAAGATATTGGTCTTACCTGAACAACTTCATCTATAAGATCAACATCCAAAATGCCTGGAATAAAACCAGCACCTATTCCTTGAATTTTGTGGGGACCTGAGCATTTTTACCAATCAAACACAGAGCAAGTGTTAGGCTGAAACAAATTGAATCTTTATATCCATTGATGACCTCATAATGAACTCTCAAGACTAACAGGTGAGCAAAATACAAGAAAATAAAGTGTGCCAAAGAGTTCCCTATTGAGAATTTAGATTGTTCAGGGTTATGAATTTCAAAAATTTAACGATGACTTCGATACTCATAGAACAAGATAGAATGAAACACACCTGGCTTTCCACCGGACAGAATAGGGCTTTCAACGGGCTCGACACCATACAGCTGAAAGATGAGAAAACAAATGAGACAAGTTATGATATTACTAAGAAGATTCTGATTGTATGAGTAAATGATATACACCTTTATGTTTGGGTTCTGTTCCTTGAGATACTTCCCAGCACCTGTTAAGGTACCACCAGTACCAATACCAGAAACAAAGCCATCCACTTTTCCACCAGAACCTTTCCATATCTCAGGTCCAGTAGTCCTCATAATGGATCTGCAATGAACACAATACTTATGTCAACGTAACTCGATTTCGATCCAATAAAGGTGCTCAAAATATAAATACCTTTGGATTGGCAGGATTCTCAAACTGTTGAAGCATGTAACCATTAGGCGTTTTCGCCAAAATCTCTTCCGCCTTTGCGACAGCGCCTTTCATGCCTTTAGCCGGATCAGTAAGAATCAACTCAGCTCCAAAAGCTAAGAGAATGATTCTTCTCTCTATACTCATTGAAGCTGGCATTGTAATAACAAGCTTATAACCCTTTGCAGCTGCAGTAAATGCTAAACCAACTCCAGTATTCCCACTTGTTGGCTCAATCAACACACTCTAAAGAAAAAAAAACACAAATTCGAAATCTCGAAAAAACTAACAAAAGAAGAATCTGACTCATAGCTTCCATAAAAAAAAAACAGACCTCTCCTGGTTTAATTAGACCTTTAGCTTCTGCATCAGCAATCATACTATAACCAATCCTGCAAACAAAAAGACATAAAGTACAAGTTTTTTTGTTTTGTTCTAAGAAACAAAAACAGAGCTTTTGGCCTATGTGGAAGAACCTGTCTTTAACGCTAGAGCATGGTTCCATCATCTCAAGCTTAGCAGCAACATGACCAACACAATCTTTAGCCACTTTGTTTAGATACACTAATGGAGTGTTACCTATTAACTGCCCCCAAATAATCAAAAAAAATAATTAGAAGAAAAACATTTACTGACAAACATAGTTGAAGAAAGACATAATCTTGGAGATTACTTCAGTAACATCTTTAGCAATTTTAGAAGTCCCTGAAGCCATGTTTCAAGCTCACTCCTTAAATTTCACAAAAAAAGAAGAAGATGAATACAATTGTTAAATATCTATAAACAATCAAACTTCAACTTTAAGACAAAAACAAAAAACAAACGAATTCAAGAATTTCATTTCACGCCAACTTTTCCTAATCATAATAAAATTTCCAGATGAATAAACAAAAACCATGATATATATCACCAATTTAATTTAGAGTAAACCTACAAAAATAATCAATATCTGAAAACAAATCGATCAAGCAAGTAAAGATCGGTGGTGAATCGTGAACAAAGGTCGATCGGCTATGGAAGAGCAGAGAAGTTACGTATAAAAAACGATGATACCATTGCAAGAAAGTCAACACTTTGACCGATAATGAAACGGATAACTTTTCGGGCCCCACATAGAGAAACAGAAACATATCTTCTGGCCCCCCTTTTAAACGGATAACAATATTGTGTCTAATTTAGTTTTAAACATATATCCTATACATCATTCTAGTACATACAATCACTATTATCTGTATTTATCTTTAATCGAATAAGCAATGATGAGTAAGAACTGGCATTTCGAGAGTATCATGGTTTTGTATGAAATCAGTTAATCATCTTCTATGATAGACGTTTGCATCTTCAGATTTAGTAAATGCAATTAGCATACTTTGCGGTTAGGAAGAGGATTAGCAAACGTGAGACCGAGGCATGTTTGCTATGCATTTACGGTTGAACTGCGTTATACTCACTAAAGTGTTTGGAGTTCCCAGAATTGATTTGAGTGGTTACAAAGTGATTTTCATCTCTCTTTTTGAGTTTTTATATTACCGTGTTTTATGTAGATGAGTTGTTTCAATTGTCGTGGTCATTTGGATCTGTTCAATGTACATATCCTGTTTTGTTTGTGGCAAGCACACTTGTCTTGTGTGTGGGTTGAAAAGTCATTTTCTAGCTTATTGTCGTACAATAGATTATTATCGGGGCTTGAATCTATTCTTTCATATTGTTCTAATGTTTGAGGGTAATATCCGACAGTTTGAATTTCTTGATTCATCTTAATCTCCCTAATGATATAGATGGTAAAGTAAATGCTTATTTTTATTGGTTCATCACTGGTTATACGCTTGATAAAGATGTCTACGTATATGCAATAAGCTAGAAACTGTTCTTGGATAATTGATAGTGGTGCCACAAGCCATGTTTGTTCTGACTTATCTTTTTTTAGTGAAACTGTTTCAGTTTCTGGGGTAAATGTCTCTTTACCTAATGATACTAGAGTGACAATCACACACACATGCATTCCTCTTATTGCGGATGTCAACCTTGACCAAACCATCATTCCTGTTATGGCTAGTATGACATATGCGATTTATGCAGAATCGTTTCGATGGAGCATTACAATGAGAAATCGTTAGAATAAGTTTTTGTTTTATGCTATGAATCACATTATGTGAACTTCTTATACATGTTGACTTAATCAAATGTAAGCTTATTCTAAATGTTGGCTTGGTCGTGATGTGTGTTGCTTAGTTACTATTACTAATGATGTAATCTTGATTCTGATAATTGAAATTTGAGAAAGGAAAAAAAGTGATTTTCTTTGCACTGAAATACCTCCAAAACCAAGATGATGATCCTTGATGACGTTCAATGAAGATTATAACCTTTTTTTTTTTGGTCAAAAATCTAGGGAGATTCCATAGAAAATTCATCTGAATTCTGAAGTACATGGCCCAACAGTAACTATTTTTATTTGCAACAGTATCTTTTTTTCATGGATTTATAGTAGTTACCATACAAAGTTTAATTGGGCCAGTCCAAATCCACAATCAATCCCATTTAGTATTAGTCCATTATGAAAACAATTGTAAATTTTTTTTTTTTTTTTTAATATTTTGAATCCCAAAATTGTTCTCACAATGAACCTTTTTTAATTTTTAGATAATATAGGGATTGCATGTATATTCTGCACAAAAGTTTATCTCCAAATTTCAATACAGATTTACATGCAGACAAATTTGTTTGGGATTTCAAGTATTAATGAAAATGAAGCAAAAAGGGAAATTTTCACCACAAATATACAACAAAAATTTCACTGGAAGAAATAAACATAAATTCCTTTGTCTCAAACAATTCAAAAATGTGAAATCTTTTTACTTGTATTGAAAACCCCAAGTCCCAAACTAAAGATTCACCAAACAAACAAAATAGAAAATTCCAGTCCTCTATGCCATCATTAGATGACTAGTCTTCTTCTTGAGTTTCCTCTGCTTAAGCTTCACTTTAACATTAACACCATTATCAATAAGAGCTTGAAGCACGACTTGAAGCTTACCTTCAATTTTATCTCCTTTCCTAGGAGTGTATATAACGTCATGTATATCATCCTCCAAACATCTTTGTGCAAGGACTGCCCCAACCGCAGCGCAAGCTGCAGCGTTTCTTGTCGAACCAAGATCGAATTTCATGTCTTTCGAAATGGAATGAGCCACAGTGACAACCTTACTAGTTACCCTGTGAATCACACATGCTCGAACAGACTCCTTCGAGATGTATATGTCTAAGCAAAACGGGTAGTGAAAAGGCGCCGTGAGTTGGTTAAACGTAAACGTTCTTTCTCTCTTCTTCAAAGCTGCATTAGGATGATCCATTTCACCGGTAAAAGAGTTAATCATCGGTTCATTTCTCTTCTTGTATTCCTCACGAACTTCCTTCTTATTATTCTTCATTTTTGTTTCTTCTTCTTGGTTTTGCTCTTTCTTAGCGTTCTTGTGTTGATTCTTGCAGTGGAAGTCGTAGTTGTATTCCTCGAATTCTTTTGACCCTCGATCAAGCTTGTAGAACAGATCACCGCGAATTCTCATATTATCGATTTCATCATGATCGGGATCTTCATCATCGAGTATTGTTTCTCTTACTCCTTGTATTGTAATGGGAGAGTTTTTTGCAGTGTCTGCTTGGAACTGTCTCCAAGCTTGAGATAAAGATGATGAGACATGCCAAGCATCATCATCCACAGTTTCTATACCACAACCACTCAAACCAACCACTGTATCCTTTCCACTTTCACTGTTGGAAAATCTCGAGGAGAAACAATGCGGTGCAGGTCGAAAAACAGAGATGAAATCCGGCAAACGGAGACACTTTCTCCTTAAAACCATCAAAGCCATTGAAGGAAAAGAGACCAATTCTAAAAACGTAAGTGAAAATCAAACGGAATTTTCACAGAGACAAATCATCGAACACCTGGTGTGCAAGGTTGATAAAGAGAATTTTCTCACCACTAGCTTTGTGTCTTGTACCGAAATTGAGTCACCCACTTTGCTTTCCAATGTTATGATCAGAGACAGAACTGAGTGAAGAAGACAGAGGTCGGAGAAGTTTGTGAGAAAGATAAGTTTGTTGACTGAATATTAGACATTACAAAAGCTGAGTTTTTTTGTTTATGTGATTAATAAACACACGAGAGGAGATATAGCTAAGTTACTAAGAGAGAAAGAGACTGTTAGGTCTTGAGAAGAGATATTACAGACAAAAACGACGACGTAGAAAGACAATAGACCCAGAGAGAGAACACCAGAGTAGTAGCAGTTGTCACAGTATCAGTGATTGTTTGGTTATTACACCCATCTTCTTCCTTCTTGTTTTGTTGTCACACTGTCTCTAATTCAGTAGTAATGTTGCTGAGGGTGGAATTGGTGGTGTTGATGATGGTGCGGGTGGTAAACCGGAGGAGCTGGAGCAGGAACTGGACCATTGCAATAACCGTTGTACGCTGGGTAACCGATAGGAGAGCCTTGGTATGAGCCTGGGATGATTTCGGGAGAGTATGGATAAGGTGGGCTTCTGTTGCTGTAGACTGTGGTAGGTGGGGATGGGTAAGCTGCTGGTGAAGCGTATTGAGGAGAGTGAGAGGGTGATCTGATGAAAGGGAAGGAAGAGACGTATGCGTTTGTGATACGCCCGGCTTTGGCTGGTGGCATTGGACCGTTGTAGCTTGCCCGGGTTCTCTTGTTGGCGGGAACAGCTGCTGGTTTTCTCTTCTCGGTTTTCGTCTTCTCTAGCTGATCCAATCGCTTCTTGAGATTCTCTGGAGGGAACTCTTCCTCGAGTTTGTACTCTTCTATGCATTTCAAGACCGCCTTAAGTGCTGATTGCTCCTTGCGCGCCACGAGATGCTTAGCAAGAGGAAGATGTTCAATATTAGAGATTCACAAAAAAATTGTTTAGTAGGGACAGAAATGAGTAGATGCTACGAAATCAGTAGATACCGTAGCTCGGCCAGTATTGCTAGAGTCCTCCATGATAGAAGCTGCTGACTTCTTTGCGTCCCTTAGATAAGCTTTGAGCAAAGGAACAGGAGGAAACTTATCCACAAGACCAACTTCATAAGTAAAATGAACAGCATCAAGCTGTTGTCCCCTGCTGATTAATTCTTCAATCATATCTGTGGACAGCACAACAACTAGTAAGCTCAGATATTATAAAACGAGATACAGAGAAAAAGGCTTCAACTTCACACATCCTATATGATCAGTTCTAGTCAATAACACCACAATCTATATGCCATACAATACAATGTTTGCCAGAAATTCTCCACACAACCGTAAACTTCGACTACTCAACCCGTAAACTATTTGTTACCTACGAAATTTATACATCTGCCAAATATGACCTCACTAGTCACAATGAGCTAGCCAGGATCAAAACCAAAAGGTAAAAGATAAGAGCTTTAGGCTTACCAGGCATTTGATCACCCAAACCAACAGAAACAGCAAGCTTAGGCATCTGTTTACGCCACGCAGAGCCAACGACAAGCTTTCTATACAAAGCAAGATCTTCACTTTTAACAATTCCAAATGTAACAAGATGCTGCAGAAACGTATGAACATCAGGAGTCTTCACATTCTCTATCCTTCCTCTCTCTTCCAAGCTCGCCTTCCACGTCTCAGCTATCTCCTTAGCCTTCTCCTTAACGCTTGGAGTAACAAGCAACCTCGATTTCCCAATCACTGGATCAACCATTACAGGTGTTAAACTCTCTAGAATCACAACACAAGCCCATCCATAATCATTGCTCATTTTCTCAGCTCTTTTATCCACTGGAAAAACCTCAGATATCGCTTCAAGCACTAACATCGCCGGATCTACACAATCAACCAACGCCGCCGGAATTTTTGATCGGAGATTCTCCAATTCCTTCTTCCTCGCCGTCACAAAGTTCCAAAACCCTCTCGCGTCCATTTTAAGACATAAAGATTTCAACGCAGAGAGAAGCCCTTCTTCATCGTCAACCTCACCGGAATCATCATTAGAACCATCACCACCATCTCTAGCTTTCTCTAACGATTCCAAAGCAGCTCTAGCTCGTTCCCCAACTTTCCCAGCTACGATCTCAACGCTATGGTCGATTGTTACCTCTCTACGCTTCAACGACTCAAGCGAGGTCTGAGTCTGATTGTCTAGCGTTTCAATCATCTGCTTCAACGCTTCAGATTTCTTCATCAGATTCTGCTCTAAAGAAGTAAAGTGATCGGAGAGCTCTTGCCATAGAAGAGTACAGCTTGTCATCAACGACGTCTGTTTCTGAAACTCCTCGAAACTCGGCTGAGCTAACTCAGTCAACTCGCCTGGATCGGGGACTGACCCCATCGCCGGAATCTAAAAAAGCTCAAACTCCGTCGATTTGATTGATACAGAGAAGAACAAACTCAAGAGAGAGAGAGTGAAATTGAAGAAACCCTAGAAATGGGAAAAAAGTAAAGAGACGAAGAAGAAGATAAGAGACAAAAGAAACAGTGACGTGGACAACTCGAAATAGCGACACGTCTCAGTGGAGTCTGATTAAAGGCGCGATTATTACATCCTCTTCTATATTGCGCCGTCTACGCGTAGGTTATTGTGATATGCGTAGGATACTAGAGTTGGGTGATGACGTGGTAATAATAAGTATTACTAAGCTTTGCTTTATTTTCGTATAAAGAAGAAAAAAAAAGGTGAAAGAGATAAGTGGGCCAAGCCCACTGACCACCACATGCGTTGAGTCGGAAACCAGTGAAGCATTGCCGGTAAAATTTATAAATATACGAAATTGATTAATAAAAACTATATAGTATAGAGAAAAAATGTTGTCATAATTAATATGAAATTCTATGTGTAGTGTAATGTAAGAAGAAGAACAATGCATGTGTTTTGAAGAAAAGGCTGTAATGAAATCAGGGCACGCGTGATAAATCTTAAGACGTGATAATGAAGCAACCACAAAGAAGATTCATTAGTACATATATAAAACTAATCTTCTTCGTACTATGTTTTAAATATCTTTGTGATATCAAAACAGAAGAATAGAATAAAAACGAAATTTTGAATTTGGTTTTATTAAAGCTATTGCTTTTTTGACATCATTGGAATGGATATATCATACAAACCTTTTTCTGTGGATATGTAGAAAATGTTAAACGGGACAGTGACATATAACCCATTATTGAGGGGAAATATCCATTACTCTTTTAGACCTCTTGCTATTAGAGTATCATTTTATAATTATAAAAAGGTTAGAGAAAACATTACAAAATTAGAATGAGACGAAATATGAAACTGACGGCTAAGACTTATTTATATAATTAAATGGGTCCGAAATGGCCGACTACAAATTAACCGCCGATTACTGTTTACGCTTTATAGGAAAAGTGAGGAGAGAAATTTGAAAAATGTGAAGGGAGAATAATGATTTAAATTTATGCATTGATTTGACCTTAGTCTAGCTAGTCTTATAGTAATATGATTATGACATTTGCACAATCTAGAGGCTTTTTCTAATGTGTTTTATTCTTATAGTGCATGTAACTCTATCAAAAGATACAAAGTACTTTGTCCTACATATTGTACATTGATAAAATTATTTTCTAGTTGTTATGATAGTGGCCAAACTATGATCCTATATGTTATATTAACATTACACTACCGGAAATGAAACAATAAAATGGTGAAAAATTAATATCCACCAATAATGATAGTGCTTGATTACTTTCATAAAAAAGTTATAAGGTTTCTTTATCATACGGCCTAAACCGCAGCTGATCAAACTTCCTTAACCAAACGTGTAAATTGGTAAGCCAGAGAGAACCAAAGATTTGAATGAATACAGGAAATAAAGTTTGTCAGAACACTTTATACCTAACTTGTCAATTAAAAGTTTAAAACAGTCATAAATAAAGACTAAACAAAATTTATGTAGTGGTTAGTTCCAAAAGCCCCCACAAAATACAAGTCCTCTTATCTGATGTTTTTTTTGTTTTCATACCAATTTGTAAATTTTTAAAAAGTAAGAAGCTACCTAGCTAAACTAAACACCACCATTGTTATCACCAATCTAAGGTACCCAAAAATACAAAGGTACCCAAAAATACAAAGGTACCAGAGTGCAAACAAAAACACTAACTCAATGTCATAGACATCAATACAAAGACACTAAGGTATCATTGTTTGGTTGGTTTAATACTCTCATTTTGATAGGCATGTCAGTGAGTAACAGACACTTTCATTGGCTGGCTAAAGCCTAAAGAAGAAGCAGGAACCACTATTCCAAAGGATCACATAGAACAAGGAAAGAAGAACGAACATAAAAGAATCAACAGGGACATCAAAAGCATCAAGCAACTATCACAATATACTTCTAAGGGTGTTGGTAAACAGAAGCTTGTATATATCAGGTTCAACCGATATTAGTCTATGCAATATGAACACCGAATCAAAGGATCAAAGAGACCAAGACATTCATCTATAAATTATAAAAAAAAACACACCAAACTTTTCTTTCCTCCTTTCGAGTTTTTGAGCTTGCGACTAAGAATCCAGATTCAATAGGCAACAAATACCTCGAAAGTAAAGTGAACCTTTTGGGGGAGAAGAAAACTGTAATTTACTTTGTTCCTGTGAGTTCTCTAAGGCTCTCGATTGTGGTCTTCTTCTTTGTCTCTATATCGACTTTGTCCAAGTCCGTTACAGTCGCAAGATAACCATAAAAGATCCTCTTTTTCTCACCCGTCCTCCCATCAATCTCGACAAGACTAGGGTTTTTCTCATCATCTTTGCTTGGAGTGAGTGGCTGCACCCTCCCCCAACTCTTACGCCCACGGTTTATCTTCTCAAAATATTCTGCCATTCTCATAGCGTCCCTGAGCCCTGAATCGTCTCCCGCAAACTTGAACAGGGTAATCCCCAAATGACCCTCTCTTCCATACAGTGACTTTGATTTCCCACCAGTGAGTCCTAGTTCTGTAATTAATTATATATAGACATCAAAATGAAGGCAGACAAAATGTGTCATTGAGTTTTGTTACATGATATAGGCTGATAACTAGATACATGTACTTGCACACCCATCATTAGCCTAACCACATTGCACATAACCTACTATGACACACCACAAGTTCTGAAAATAGAAGCTGAGATCCCTAGAGAAAAGACCGGAGAAGATGGTGGCCCAACAAAGTTCTGTTAAAGAAGCTTAGATACTTCTTAGACCATTGTTGCCTAGATCTGATATTGTATTTATTCTACGCTAAGTAATAGCAACTTTTAATTCACAAAATCAGAGAGAAACATGGGAGAGAAATGGGCAGGGGTGTAAGTAAAGTGAAGGCTTTGCCTCAGAAGGTATGTCAGATGATAATTGAATCATGTTAGTTTCCAGACTCTGACTTAAAAATACCTGTTTGGGCATCCTTCTAGTGTTAGCAAAACAAAGAGAGGGATTTGGACCTTGACCTTACTTCTAAAAGATCAAGGAGATGATCATTGTGGCACAAAGTCAGGGATAACATAGATATGCCACATCATTAAGATGATTGTATCCGGTAATCATCTCTAAGGCTCCGGCTCTAAATCCAATTGACTAAGATAACCTACTTTAGTACTTTCCAAGCACATCTCTAAAATGGAGGGAATAAAAAAGGAAAAGAGAGAAGAGAATCCTAAGGTGCGAACTAACCAATGTAAGATTCATGAACTGTTCCAGATTGTTCTGTGCAGGTATGTAACGAAAGAATAAGGAATGCAAGGCCGCATGTTATACCTCTAATTCTGTTATCCATTGTTTTGTTTCCAAAGCCTTCCATGCGCCCTTCTTTACCCTTCCCTGTACTGGTATTATGAACAATAACATGAGGTGGCCAAATAATCAGCTGAGCTTGATTGATTGCTGCCTCTTCAGCAGGTAGATTCTGGTATGCCTTTGAATTATCAGGAGCCTTCGAGAAATTCCATCCCATCAATACACAGAGAGCTTTGTGTAGGCCTAAGTGATGCACGCGTGAGCTAGCATCACCAGAACAGTATGTGTGCATTACCAAACTATGTGTATCCTGGACGTCTTTAGAATGCCTGTGTTTTAGCATAAGTCGAATTGGAAACACTCATTCAGATTCACCATACAAATACCACATACAAGTCTGAGGTATTAAACTCAAGCAAATCAGAATCATGCAGTTAAGACACTTCAATGTGGACACTAAGACTATTGAAATATACACTTAAATGATTGGATGTGCAAAGCCACATCCACATATCAGCTTAGAAGGCAATCAACAAGAATCAAATGTAGATGAAATAACCCAATTCTAAACTTAAGCTAAGACTAAGGGTTGGGTTATTCAATTATGAGGAGTAACCATATAAGTGATGCACGGATAACATATAAAGATTAAAAACACACATAAACCTCTGCGCAATTATGAGGAGTAACCATCATAACATAGCAGAAGAGTTGAAGAATGTTAAAGATGAAAACGAATGAATTAGAGAACTTTATCATTAGCTTTCTACATCCAAACAAGCTTAATCTGTGACATAAAAGATCATTCAAAATAGCTTAGTTGCTACTAACACCTACTAACCTAGCATCCTTGACATTGATTGAAATGGTCATCAAATTGACCATTTACTCATCATGCCAAATTAATTGACAACCTCCATCTAATTAGAGCAAGCTAGAACAAAGAAATATAAAGTTTAATATCTCAATCCCCTAAAGAGTTATGAATATGAAGTCGATCAACTTAACATGCTGGATTCACAAAGAAAGATCCAAAAATCACAAGTACGAGTACTGAGGATGAGTAAAGAATGCTATGCACACGCTCAATACCAGATGCATGGTGCAGAGACTTCATGATCTGACCATAAGCAGGTAGATTAAAACGAAAAAAAAAAAAAATGCCCAACTCAGATTCCAAGTTGGCTCACTACTGATAATCGAGAGCTGATTTGAAGGTCACCCACAAATACCAAAGAACTGAACGATGATTAGAAAAACTGAAAAGTAACTACTTATTTGATACTCTATTCAAAATAAGAGTAATCCTAAGAAGAATAAACAGTAAGCAAGGTGGATGACCATCAAAAACCAATTAGCAAAGATAAATCAGTACGCTAAATCTAAACAGCTGCGGAAAAACTACCATTATATTGTATTCAGAAGATAAAAATATGCATGCATAAGGCAAGGACTAATAGTTTGAGTCAGGAGATATTGAAAAAACATTGAATAAGCTGTGGAACAAAGATTAAAACAATTGAGATGCAAGATTTGTTCCAAAAAAAACCAATTATTACGGATCAAAATAGAATTTAACCCCAATGCCTACAGGCTGCAGCTTAAAACACACAGCCTTTTGCTGCTTTAAGGCCAGCTAAAAAACTAGCAGCAAAAGAATAGCCGCAGGAGCAGTAGGTACAAAGAAAATGAGAATTAAGTTGAATGATACCTAATATCTAAGTAAAACAGTTAACTTGAATAATCTAAGAGGCTTATCTAAAGGCAACGAACCCCAGTCATAGTATATGAGTAATCTATACAATTATATGCAAGTTAGAGTAATATTAAAGCAAGAATTCCAGTGATGATAAATACAACGTAGAAGAGGAACACAATCAATGGGAAGCAAACACCATTCAGCAGCTTATCACAACAAATTGAACATATTTTGCTAAAATCAAAACCACTTAGAGCATGTCAAGATAAGTTTAATACTGTGAACAAGTTAACATACTACTCATGCATATGTAAACACAATATAAGTTAGTGTTCTCTCTTACTTTCTTCATGTTCATTTAGCGTTCTAAGACATATAAGACCAATTAAAGAAACCATCAAGAACAAGGTAACTAGAGTCTCCAACACAAGCAAACTAAACTGAATCAAAAAACAAACACAAAAGTCAGATTGAAACCCATCAAACCTGCCACAAACGAGACACTGAAGCCGCCCTTTCCTCCCGTTCTCCAAGTAGTTCTTCTTCTCAGTCGGGTCCTCGAAAACTCGCTTAACAAAACTCAAAAACGATTTCTTTACTGCAACCTGGTCAACCAGGAGACCTCCATTGTCATGCCTACTTGATCCTATCCGCATATGCTTAGCTGCTCTACCATCTTCTCCAACATCCCTAAGAAACGGACTACTGCTTGTACCAGCCATAAGTGACTGATCATTAGGATTCGCATACTGCATAAAGTGCTGTCTTTGTCTCAGCATCTCAGCTCTCTCGTCTCTCCTATCAATCTCTTCTTCACCTGGATACTTCCGTTTCATCCTCTGATCTCGAAACTCTTCCGGGTGAAAAGGAGGGAATCTACCAAATTCCGGTCCAGCTAGTCGATTCTGAGGAGGAAAATCCTGGTAATTAGGAGGAAGTGCGAAGTAGGAACGAACACTACCATCAGCGAGAACAATTGTGCGTCGCTCAAGCATATGAAATCCATAAGTCGGTGGAGGAGGAGGACCTAACGCCGCAGACGAATCAGGGAAAGGAAACGGAGCCATTGGCCGTGAAGATGATGGAGCTGATGGATTTGGATGATTCGGATTGGATTGTTTCGGAATCGGAGCTAGCTTAGGAGAAGGATTAGGCTTCGGAAGTTTCTTATCGGCGATTTTCTGGCCACCGGTCGTCGGTTTGCTTTCTTTTTTGTTGGTGTTGTTGTTACTGGTTCCACCATCGTTGTTAGTCGAATTCCAGTGAGATTTATGGTTCTGTGAAGAGGAAGCTGCAGCGGTGGGAGCGGAAGTTGCCGGAGGCTTGTTCGTCGATGACTTGGCGTTGTTGTTGTTGTTCCCGACCATCTTCAATGGCCGTGAATTGGGGTTTTGGGATCGTGAATCTGCTTCTTCTACCTTGAGCAATTCGCAGAGATTGAATCTGTGTCTGCTATGGAAAATTCGTAAAGGGAAGGTTTTCAAAGAAGAGATTATATAGAGAGATTAGGGATTGGATCAAATCATTGAAGTCCAAGGAGAGAGGGAAAATATTCTCTGGAACCTCTTAAACGGCGTCGTTGTAGTGTCGAGAGAGATTAAAAACGAGGTCGTTTTTGGCATAAATGTTAAGATTGAAACGCAGTCGTTTTGCCAAGGTAGAAAACTGAAGATTGGATTATTTTGACATTTTACAGCAAGTTCTTAGTTGATGGATGATTAAGCAATGGTAAGAGATTCAAAACACTCTCTAACAACAGATTAATATAAAGATGAACCCGTCATCTTCTGAACTGTGTGATCTTCATTCTATTTTCACATTTTGCTCTTTGCGCTTCAATGGAAGAACAAGATCCAACAGGTTTGGGATTTGGCAACATCAGAAAATCGATGTTGGTTCATGAACTCGACGATGAAGTGTGAATCTGGGAACTGTCTTGTGTGTTTGCTCAGCTCTCAAGATCGTGACAAGACTCCTTTTGAACTGCAAATACCATAAACCATCACACATCAAACGTGTTTCCCAATATACATTCTTCACATCCCAAACACTAATCTCTAATGAAGACAACAACGATGCATCCTCCGGATCCACAAAAAGTATGAATGGATAATTTGTCTTGTTTTAACATACCAGATTTTCTCTTCTATTTTTTTTTTAATGTAATGAATCTTGCATTCTAGTATATGTTATCTATCCTTTGTGTGTGTGTAGAATGTTGTGGAGGATAAGAAGATAAGTCAAACCTTGGTATCGTCCCACCGCGACGTGGATCATCCTCTGTTGCTTGTCGTAGAGCCCTGGCAAAGGCCTTAAAGGTCGCCTCTATTATGTGATGAGAGTTTTCACCAGCAAGCTGTTGTAACAAACAAATATTAAAACGGACATGAAAAGTTTGCCAAGGAGATCACAGAAGAAACTAATGAAATTGTATGATCCTGTTTGCTTTTTAAAGATTCGAATCACAAGTACCTGCCGGATGTGAAGTGTCATACCAGAAGTATTCACCAACGACTGGAAGAAGTGCTCCACCAACTACAAATAGAGAAGTTTACAATTTTTGGCAACACTTTTAATGATTACTAAACAAGGAATAACACAAATAAACCCAAAAGAGGAAAAATCCAGGAGTGAAGGAAGAACCTGAGTGTCATAAGTTCCAACTCTCTGGGTTGGAATCTCCAAGTTGTAACCAAGATATGGTCGACCAGACAAGTCCTGCAGGTTATTTTTGTTCACTATAAGCAGTAAGCAAGTCTGATAGACATCCAGTAATGAGAACATAAACAAGATGCAACCAAAAGTTCAAAAATTTTATACCAAGGAAACATGTATAAGCGCTTCATCTAGAGGAGCTGTGAAGTCACCAAACCGGTTAATCCCTTTACGCTCACCAAGAGCCTTTAACAGAGCCTAGAGAATAAATAAACACAGAGATTTCATCACAACACAATTTCCTTATGAGAAAACAACAAACGGTTGATCATAGGTCTCATAATAAGAGCCGAAAATATGGCTGAAAAAGAAAATGGCAACACTTACTGTTCCAATGGCAAGAGCTATATCTTCATTAGTGTGATGATCATCAATATGAACATCACCAGTAGCTCTAACGTGCACATCAAACAAGCCATGTGAAGCAAGTTGCTAAACCAAGACAGACAAAGAGTGAAACACACAAACATTAATCTGTCTGTGTTAAGCTCTATTCCAATTGAAATCAAAATCCAAGACAAAAAAGGTTTAAAGGCAAAGACTTGCATCTAACATATGGTCAAGAAAAGGAATTCCAGTAGAACTATCTGCAACTCCAGTACCATCCAAATTAATCTTCACTGAAACATTCGTTTCCTTTGTTACTCTCTTTACTTCTCCAATTCGAGCTGATTGAGAATTAAAAACGACGACTTTGAGTGAGAAAACAAAAAAAAATCAATAAGCTTCAATCTCAGCCATATCGAGATCCAAAACTAACCTAATTCGATAGAGGAAGAAGCAGAAGTAGCCCGAGAAACGTTTTTAATGGGAGAAGAAGCGCATGATTGAGATTCCATCCGCAAAAATCGAGGAATCGAAGAATAAGAAGAAACGATCATCGCTCGACGAGGAAGTAAATCCATTAACCCGAGCTTCAGTCTGAGAAGCTGAGCGGCGGAGGAGGAGTGGCCATATATGGCGGACGCAGACGACAGCTCCATTTTGTTGGCAGCGGAAGGAAGAAAAGACGACGCTTTGATTCTCCTCCTTTGAGCTAATTCAGAATCTTACTTATAACCGAACCGGTACATTAGAACCGATAAATAATTCGATCATTTTCGGTAAACTTTGATTTAGTTTAGTTATTATAACCGGTCCAAGACCAAACCGGTAAAGAAACCAACCCAAACCATTAAGAGACCCATACAATCACAATGGAGTGTACTTGAAAATGACAAGAACAAAAGGTGCTTCATAGACATTGTTTCAATAGCAGTCGCAAAATAAGTGAGCTCAAATATTTAAAAGTTAAACAATATTTTGCTAAACACACGAGACACAAAATCATCAAACTCACGTACTAATAGAACAACACCATAAGAACACACATTCAAAACAAAATGATATATATATATATAGTACTGCATTATTAGATAACTCCGTCACTTTCAAGCCTATAAGGCAAAATACCTGCTGCACCATGAAGATAGTGAAACTTTTCATTTCAACCAAAACAGTGTCTCATAAAACAAGAACCACAAAAGAATTAGGATGAAAGTTTCTGAGTGAAACTTCATGTTCTAATCATAGGGCATTTACAGCACAAAAGAAGCTAACCGTCAAAGGTTTGTGTCATTCATCAGAAGGTAACACCAATAGCATACTCAAACTGATTTGACCTGGGGACTGCAAGTATTACGTCACACCACTCAACCTCCCCCAAAATCTTTTCGCTTTTGCTAAGCCTTTTAAGCAGAATCACCGCACACCGTATCATCTTGTTCTTATATCCCATAGAAGGCACAATCTCGTCCCACAAAACCGCCATCTTTCCACCATAATCAGCCATTTTAACAGGAGTATGTTGATCAAACTTAGGTAATCCTACCAAACCCTCCATCTTTTTCCACAATCTCACCTTAGTATCATACCATTGAAAATCTCCATTATTATAACAGTACAAAACATTATCTATCACACAATTACTAAACCAACTCCAACTCTGACCTAATTCTTCTTCAACCAAGTCCCATCTACCTTCCTTTGGATCATAAGCAAGACTTTTACTCCCACACATCAGATGAAACTTTCCTTCAATACAAGCACTTTTAGAGAAACAAGTTTGAATCTTTAAGCAAGGGTTTAGCACATGATCCCAAATCTGACTCTTGGCGTCAAAAACCTCGATCGGGTACTCGCCATCTTTGTTGCCTCCTGCTACATAAATCTTTCCATCAACAACGCTAGCAGAAGGAGCAAACCTCTCCACACGCATGCTTTGAGCCTCACGCCACGTGTTAAACCGACAGTCTAGGATCGAGACTTTAGACGAGGGCACTTTCTCTATGAGTCCACCAATGTTGTAGATATTGTAACCAACGGCTACGTGACCAGACCAGTGTGCAGGAGGAGAATTAGGAACTGGGATTGGGACCAAAAGATTGGCACTTGAGGTTTTCTTGAGAGTGAACAAGCGAGGGTTAGGGTCAGGAGGGAATCGTAAGCATACATAGAGAAAACTCTCGGTGAGACCTAAAAAGGATCGGGCAAAACCATAAGAACACACATTCAAAACATAATGATATAGTACTGCATTATTAGATAATTCCATCACTTTCAAAGTTTCAAGCCTATAAGACAAATACCAAGGTAGTGAAACTTTCAATAAAACCAAAACCGTGTTTCATAGGACATTTAACAGCCCAAAATAAGCTAACCGTCAAAGGCTTTTGACAAATGAGCTGATGTCTATTGCATTCACCTAAAAACACAAGCCACAATTCAAAAGTTAACACCAATAGCATAATCAAACTGACTTGACCTAGGGACTTCAAGCACCAAATCACACCACTCAACCTTCCCCTTAATCTTTTCGCTTTTGCGGTTGCGCCTTTCAAGCACAATCACCGCACACCATATTATCTTCCTATATACAATAGAAGGCACAATCTCGTCCCACAAAACCGCCATCTTTCCACGATAATCAGCCAATTTAACAGGAGTATGATGATCAAACTTAAGTCAGTTTTCCAATCAGGGACCAATGCAGCAATCTCTGCATCGATCATCTCTGCGATTTTCGCAACATCTTGATTCGTTATGTCGAGCTCTGATACCATCTCAGCCGCTACACTCCATGCAGTATCAATAGCTGTCTCAAATGGGAAGTAAATGTTCCTTATCCGTCCTGCATTACATAAAAGTTTGTTAAGACCAATGATCTTAAAACTATCGAAAAAAGATTGAAACTTTACCTTCAGCATCAGAGATTCTAAGCCTCAAGAAGAGGATCATCAATCAAAGGTTGTCTAAGGAACACACCAGTTTCATCATAACCATTGTAGTAATCAATAGGTCTCATATCAAATCCATCCACATTATCTTCTTGTAGAAAAGGGTCTTGTAAAAGCTCCAACGCCGTTAGGCTACACGTCACAGTTGCTAAACACAAATAACACTTGCAGAATCTGATTAAACACCAATTAGAGTAAAAATAAAATACAAAAAAAAAACTAATTACTAGCCACCGAAACATACCTTTAGAATAAATAAATAAAATGATTCACTTAAGCAGTCTTCGTAAAAAAAATTATCATTTGTTTATGCATAGGAATAAGGTATCGTAGAGTTATAATTACATCTCGCAAAAAAAAAAAAACGAAGAAGAAGAAGATATCAGATTTTAAGGGTTCGAAAATTTTTGAAGTGTATTACCAAAATGTTTCCTTGTTTCTAAGGGATTCATTATCTAGGTGTTATTGTAACACCTAAACTTTCCATCTAATGATATTAACTTCCTTAGCAAAAAAAAAAAAAAAGATTTTTAAAGACCCAAACAAAATAAATGGCCCAATGAAAAAAGCCCACAACAAATAAAGACAAAAAAATAAGCAGACAAAATAAACAGTAATGGGCAGTATAAGGCCCAATTAATTAACACAAACGAAAAGAGAGGCGGCAAATTTCGAAATTTGAAAATTTTCGTATAGATCGGAAAGACGAATGCACACGTGTGAGAAAATTTAAATTTAAATTTCAGTAGTAAGATAAATATTTGCTTCTTACGAACAAGCGCAAAAAAAAAGCTCTCTCTCTAGCTCTCACCGGACGTTGTAACTTGAAAATGGCGGCAACGGGTGTGGCGGCGGGTGCGGCGGCGGGTATAGTCGTGGACAACAACCTCCAGAATCAAATCACCGGAAATCAAGGTATAACAACATAAATTCTAAGCAATTTCGACATTAAATGATCCAGATACTAATTAGATGTGAGAAAATTAACAGAAGTTGATGATGTCCTGATGAGGTCGGTGGAGGATTGGCTTAAAGCTGAAGACTGGCACGTTCTGTTCGAGAATCGGGATCTCTTTATGCCAATCAACCAGGCACTTATCCCAGTGGAAACAGCGGGATTGTTCAGAGCAGATTCAACACACAATCGGGACAGCAACGACTGGCGTAACGAATTGAGCCAGAAGCTAACTACACGTAACGAATTGGGGAACCTAAGGTTCAACGTAGATTTCGGAGAAGGATTATGGGTCGAACCTAAGGTTGTAATATCTTGAACATTTGTTTTAAAATAAAATAAGTGGATAATTTTGTAAATTTAGAAAGTAAAAATATTATGTTAGAAATTAGCAATAAAATGGTAAAACAGACAGTACTTAAAATATTATTTTTAAATAAGAAATAGATATAATCATTAAAACAAATCTCTACGTGAAATAATAGGAAGTCGACGGCCATTTGGAGACAAGAGAAATATAATAAGAGGTTAATGACTTATTGGTATAAAGATATTATTTGTTTAAATAATTAATATGATAACGTAATGATGTCATATACATATGAAAATATATATATATATATATATTCTATATGTATGGAAATATTTACTAGTTGATCTATGAAAATGTAGTGTCATATATGTATATTTGGCTCTATCATGGGTTATGTATAAAGTAACTTTTTTGTGAAACAATGTTATAAAATTTGATTACCAAAATTAATTAGTTGTGAAAGTGATACAATACATTTTTTTACAACAAAATGGTCATGTAATAGACAAAACAAGCAATTCAATTCAAAAAGTATGTTAAAGAAGAGAAAAAAAGTCAAACATAATCGACAAAAATATAACATAGTGTTGTACAAAAAAAGTACATGATTAAGGTTTAGAAGGTAGTTCTGGATGATAACTACTACTTGAAGACTCGATCTAAGTATTTATAAAGTTTTATAAACTATTTTATAAAGTTTTACAAGGTATTTTAATAGATTTTACAAGGTATTTGTAAGATTTACAAGGTACTTACAAGGTATTTATAAAGTATTTATAAGATTTTACACATATATAAAGATAGTTTGTGTACGCTTTTAATAAGATAATACACATATTTGGGTGAATCAAAGATTTTTAGTGGCATTTTTTGATAAGGCTTTAGATAAATGGGCATTTTGAAAAGTAGTACTGGAAAAATGAGCATTTTTGAAATTCTTCTTATTTTTAATAGTTCATAAACTAAATATAGAAGAATAACTCAATTTTTCTAACCAATATATTATTTTTATTAATATTAAATTTAGATAACTTTAGTATTTATTTATTAATATAAGAGTTAAATAGACCATTAGACAATTTTATTTTGATATTTTTTTAGTTATTTTATTAATATTCATAATTATTTGAAGATATTTTTCAGTTAAAGTTGGGGGTGTTATTGGTTTATTGATTTGTAAATCCATATAGGATTTGAAAATCTTTATTAATTATGAAATGAATACATATGAAGTATGCATTTGAATCTTTCTATTTTTCTCTTTCAAATCCATTTAAAACATAATTTGGATTCTCAAATCCAAAAACAAATGACTAAACGAATAACATTAGATTTTAAGTAATATTTATAAATCATAGAACCAATAACACATGATTTTAGCTAGAATTTTAAAATCAATGATTGAATAACAGATGATTTTTGTTTGGATTTCCAATTCCTTATAAATCCATGAATCAGTTAACCCCTCCTAGTTATTTTGGTAGATTATGCCTAAAATCATTAAAACAAATTCAGCTTGATTCAACAAAAAAATTTCTACAAATGCAGCTTGATTCATCAAAAAATCAGTCAGATTCGGTTAGATGTCTCACAAATATTAAAATGTTAGGTGGTATTTTTTTTTATTTTTTTTTATTCAATGGTTACGTGGTTTTTAAGAAATAAAAGGAGTAGCCCTCTATAAGATGTTAATCCTTAATACATCTTGTTAGCCTCGATTTCAGAACAGTAATTACCTAGTTTCTTTGTCAGTAATTATTACCTAGTTTCTTTGTCCGTCAGAATCGTGACTCCTTGATTCTTGTTTCTTTTAGGGTTTATGTGTCTTTGATTCCTACAGCCGTAACAACAGACCTAAGGAAGAGAAAACAATTGTTGCAACTTGACGATGACGACGATCTCGCATCTTCCTAGGGATTTGTTAGATGAGATAATCTCTAGACTGTTAGAGCATTTCCATCGGTGAGACACTCAATAGAGTGTCTAACAAATAAAATAATATTAATTTTTTATTATTTAATTATTTTATTATTTAATTGTTTATTTAAACCAATCAGAAGAAGACAAGTATAAAAATGGGTGTCTCAGAGTTTCTCAAATGAGAAATAGTTTCTGTCCTCTCTCCTCCTTTTTTAATTTTTTATTCTGTTTTATAGACACTCCCAATGGAGATGGTCTTAGATTATAATTGAGTTTGGTCTATATTATTTAATTATACAAGTAATGTATGTTAAGTCGAAGGGTGTGTGTGTAAGAGTTGTGACTTGTTGGTTAAGACACAACTGTTACCAACGGTTACGAGCATAAGACATCTATATAAGTGTATATGTGTTATTGTATAAGTTGTCGAGAATAATAAAGAAGTTTTTCCACTTTTCAATTCTTTGTTTTCTCTATGCTCTGTATTTGAAGCAATGGCTTCTACAATTATACAAGAGCAAAAACACCAACATAGACTTCCATTATCGTCTACTAGAGCAGTGAGATTGACTTGCAAAAACAAGGACTCTTTATTCAAAAATCGGGGCCTTATGAAAGAAGAAGCAGTAGCAAAGGAAGGAGAGTCTCGGATGATCGTGTTGATGGATAACAATCTGTTTTCAGTGAGCATCTTCTTCAATGGAATTGACACTGATCCATCTGCAGAGCAAAAAGGTAAACTTACTTGCCTATACGACGATTCAGAACAAGTCAAGATATCTCAAGTTTTTCACTGCGAGTGTTTTTTTTTTTTTTGCTAAATTGTAAATATTTCATAGAAATGAAAAACAGTTTAGGTTACAAACATGAATTTGAAACCTATACATATGAATCCATGGCAAAAATAATAAAAACATAGAAGCATAAAGACGGTTAATTAAAACCAAGTTTTCGGTCCATCTTCTCGACCAATGCAATGAAGCTGCGGGAAGAGATGAAGCGATGACGTTCATAGCTATTCTTCTCGTATGTGATGCAAAAGCAGGAGGGCTAATGCTGATTGTTTAAACTCACCTTATTGCGACGAACCATGAGCGCTAGAAGCCTTTCGCAGGAGGTCCGAGACCAAGCCGTCAACGGTTAACAACTCCAAAAAATCTTCATTGTAGTCCATGAGCTATCTCAAAAACGGAACCTCACACGCCAAAAAAGCTAAAGGTGCAAGCTCCCTCAATACCAAGTTCATTCCCCGAAGTCAGCAGCGCAGAGCTAGATAAAACCCATTCGCCACCACACCAAAAGCCATTAGCCCTACTAGCTCCTCTAAGGCACAATCCAACCGCAAGATTAAGGGGAGAAACGCAAAGCCAAGCTAACTCCAAAACAAGAGCGAAACAAAAGAAGCCACAGCCTAGAACAGGCCTTGAGCTAACCAAAGGGATGATATAACTGAGGAGCTCGCAAAAGAAGTGGGTAACTAGCTACCACCGATAGCTATATCCACTGCGAGTGTTTGTTACTATGCATCTTGAAATATGATAAGTGTAGTCTTGTTGTTTGGAATCCGTATTTGGGACAAACAAGGTGGATAGATATGGCAGGTACATGTACATGTACGCTCTTGGATACAATAATAAGAGTCGCAGCCACAAAATCTTGAGGTTTATAGTTGGTCGTCAATTCGATTGCCGGTATGAAATCTACGATTTTGACTCTAATTTATGGACGACTCTTGACGTTACTCCACACTGGTGTTTAAATTATTGCCGTGGTTTTCGTAACTATGGTGTTACTCTCAAGGGTAACACTTACTGGTGTGCTATAAGAAGGAACTCAAACGCTTTGCGTGTTGATCACATAATCTGTTTTGATTTTACAAGTGAGAGATTCGGTCCGCTTATGCATTTGCCGTTTATTAGAGATAGGTGTGCAAGCCTTGTGACTCTATCTTGTGTTAGAGAAGAGAAGCTTGCAGTTTTATTTTGTTACTATGATACTGTTGAGGTATGAATTACGACTAAGATTGAGGCCGAAAAGATGTCGTGGAGCAAGTTCTTGACAGTGAAAATGTATGTTGACCTTCTGGATTCACTTGCAGAAGGGAGTTTTTTCATTGACGAGGTGAAGAAAGTTGCTATGATTTTTGATAAACGGATGCATCGCGACACAGTTTACATCGTGGGAGAGGCTGGATACTATAAAGAAGTGGATCTAGGAGGACCTGATGACAAATACTTTTTCCCACTTGTGTGCTCTTATTTTCCAAGTTTAGTACAAATCAAGAAACCTGCAGGATGGCGAAGGAAACAACAAAGCAGTCTAGAAAAACGTCTATGTGATCAAAACATATCGAGACTTATCGCACATGAAGAGTTAGTCAAGGAGAGATAGATATATATATGACTTATGAGCCATCAAAAAGAAAAACCTAGATGATTAGTCTCACAATTTACAATGCCTAATTTATGTCTTTCATTTACTCTTCTTCTCTTTGAATAAGTACTATATCATTAACTTTTAACTTAGCAAAAGTTAAAAATGTCGAAACATACAAATATATGTGATAACTATAATCAGACTTTACAATGTCACATATCCACAGCATCCACAGGAAGGGATATCGCCCTGTAAAGAAGAGGTAACGAAGCTGAAGTTCCCGGCGTGACAGTGATCTCCATCGGTGTCTCGCAGATCGTTTGACCTCTTACTTTCATAAGCTGAATCCTATGCCTTGCCTTAAGCCATCTTAGTTCTCGTCTCATCTCATTCTCCGACCACTGCCCACTTCTGACTTTCCTTGAGCTCTGTTTTTCTCCATCATCAGAATATGAATCTCTCAAACCCCATATATCCGCAAACCTACCGTGAACCGAAGAACAGCTCTTGTCGTCCGAACTATCGAACTCATGATGATTATGATGAGATTTTTCTCCTGATGAAACAGTCTCTTGTATATACCCGTTTGAAGCACACTCTCCACAGAATCCTGCAGTGTTGTTGTTGTTGTTGTTCACATTTGAGGAACTTTCTGTATCAGTTTTCCAATCAGGGACCAATGCAGCAATCTCTGCATCGATCATCTCTGCGATTTTCGCAACATCTTGATTCGTTATGTCGAGCTCTGATACCATCTCAGCCGCTACACTCCATGCAGTATCAATAGCTGTCTCAAACGGGAAGTAAATGTTCCTTATCCGTCCTGCAAATTCATAAAAGCGTTTTACGGTTTCAAGACCAACGATCTTAAAACTATCGAAAAAAGATTGAAACTTTACCTTCTGCATCAGAGATTCTAAGCCTCAAGAATATCCCATCATTGCCGTTTCTCTTCCCTTTAATCGAAATGTCGACATGATCTTCATCATCGTTAGCGAAAAGATCGATCTCACATATCTGTGACGACTCAAACTGATCATGGTAAAGAGGATCATCAATCAAAGGTTGTCTAAGGAACACACCAGTTTCATCATAACCATTGTAGTAATCAATAGGTCTCATATCAAATCCATCCACATTATCTTCTTGTAGAAAAGGGTCTTGTAAAAGCTCCAATGCCGTTAGCCTACACGTCACAGTAGCTAAACACTTCTCAACAAACTCACGAACCTCAGGGTCCTTCACTAAGTAAAAAGCTTCAGGCTTTTTCCCCTGAAATGAAGAATGTAAGAAAAACAAGACTTAACCTCAAATTGGCTTCAAGAACAAGCAAGTCCAAGAATCATTTACCGAGGTAACTTTCTTGTAGATTTGTGCCGGGTGAGTACATTCGCTATAAGGATAATCGAAAGTAACCATCTCCAACACACACATTCCAAAAGCATATACATCAACCAACTCATTATACTCCTCATCATACACTTCTGGAGCCATAAACTCAGGGGTTCCTTTAACAACACACAACATAGTAAAGGTAGGTCCAAAGTGGTTCAAGACATTATTAAAGCAATAAAGTTCAAATAATGAGAAAGTTTTGAAGTACCAACGCAACGAACGGCATGTGATTTACGAAGAATCGCAGCGAGTCCAAGGTCGCCGATCTTGACTTCACCTTGGTTTCCATTGATAAAAATGTTATCACATTTAAGATCTCTATGAATAATTGGTGGAGAACGACTATGTAAATAAAGAAGCCCTTTTAAAATCTGCTTGCACCATTGCTTCACTGCTCTAATATTCACTCTTCTATGTCTCAACCTATACCTACAAAAAACAGAGCAATACTAAAAATCTAAAAGATTTGAACTTTCAAGTACCCATGAGTCATAAAGAACTAACAAAGACATAAGATTGAATTTGCTTACTGTCTAAGAGTACCAGAGGTGAAGAGTTCAGTGACAAAATTGATTGATAAATTGTTAGAATCAACCCAAGAAGTGTAGAATTTCATAATGTTTTGATGATTCAAAGTCTTGAGAAGATGAATCTCTCTGAAGAATTTCTCTAATTCCTCAGGATTCCTTGTGAAATTTCGAAGCTTTACTTGGTTCCATGCTACTTCAATCCCTTCATACTCATCAAAAGCTCTGTATCTGAAATTTTATAAACCAAAGAACAGTGTTTGGATTTACGTAACCAATTCCAAACTAATTAAACAATAAAAAATGATTTTTTAATTAAAAAGTGTAAAATTTTCAAAGAAAGACAAAGATAGAAGATGAATGCGATTACACTGTCTTTGAAGCTCCTTTGCCAAGTACTTCACCGTACTACACAAACAACAAGAAACCAAAATCAAAAATCCTCTTTTGGGTATACGAAAAGTCAAAATCTTTGATTGTAGAAGAAACATTACTCTTCCATATCTTCCAGAAGGATCAATCTCAACAAAAACAGAGCAATCTTCTACAAAGCTTTCTTCACCATTCATGACTCTTCTTCTTCTTCTGCAATTTCGTGAGAGAGAGAGATGTTTGGAGTTTGTGGAGATGGTAGAAGAGGAAACGATTAAATGTTTAAAGGAAGGAGAATATATAAGGAAACAAGTGTTTTTTTCTTTAAGTGCCCACCTACACCTAGTGACAATTATCATCAGACAACTAGTTAGGCTTCTTACCCAATCACACTTTACCAACACCATGCGTCGGTTTACAAAAACCGGTTTTTGTTCCGGTTTATCCTAATCAATTCGTACGTATGGAAAATGGCATTCAACGAATTTCAACTTCCATCTGTACGAACTATACAAAAATTCGTCTATTGAAGAAAAATTTTGAATTTTCTGGTCAACTAATATTTGTGGAACTTTAAAGAAAAAATGTTTGAAAAATTTGGGCATATTATGCAACTTGAGAGGTGTGAACAAAGAATCTAAAGTGTTGATTTAAGACCACATAAATAAGCTATGCGTTGTTATGTAGCTGTGATTGGTTTTGGATAAGCTAAATTCCAAGAACCGGAAACCGGTACGGTGATAACCGAGGGAAATGCCAAATTAAAAGAACAAAAAAAGTCATAGGTATATCGAACACTTGTGGATTGGGTTTTTGTCGTGTAGTGTAGTAGTTAAGTGTCACGGGTTTGTGAGAAAGTGAAAGAGAAGCACATGGAACTGAGTCACGGCAGCAACACAGTCTCTCTTTTTTGGTGATGGTGTTAGAGACACATTTGGACCAACCATAACTCTTTACTTTTGTGTTTAATTTTGTTATCTTTCATATTCAAGAAAATGTTTATAAATTTTTAAGTGAAAATTTTGTATTTGGAAAAGCTAAATGTTGCTTTAAAGGTGAAACAATACAAAAAAATCCATAGAGTTTGTAAGTTTAAATACATGACCACCTTGCTCAAAAAAAAAAAAAAAAAATACATGACCACCAAAAATTAATTTGAGTACTAGTTATTGGAATGTGTGTCCAAATAAGCATGAATTTATTAGATAGGTGTAAACATTTTTGTAATAAATTGACAAAAGAAATGATTTCTGCGAGTTTAAAGTTTAATTTGTAATCATCTTAGTTATGGAAACTAGATGGATATTGAAAAGAGTGAGTGAGTGACTACTGACTAGCATGTGAATTATTAATTGTAGCTTGTAGATTGTATAACTTTTCAAATGTCGTAATCTTCTTGATGTATTATTGATTGTTGAGTTTTTTTAATAAAAAAAAAAAATTGTTAATCTCGTGAAGTCAAGATTAGGTACATTGATTACTCTACGTACTTGTGTGAAAAATCAGATTATGGAAGACGGACGTCTGAATATAGCACACATTTTAGACACTTGAGTTTATAGATTTTAGGAGGCCTCTTTATTCCAAACATGTTCTCAAGACCAAGGATAAATTATTGTTGCTTGTACTTTCAGAAATAATTTATGTTACCAATTAAAATCAATTTAAATAATATTTGTAAAAAAGGCTAATGTTTTTCTTTTGTAGCCTTCCAAGTCTCAGAACCAACTCTACCTCTATCCATTGGTTGAAGTAGTCGGTGGCCACCATCCCATTTCCACGAATACAAATGATATTTGGTCACATAATGTGTGGAAATTCCCAACGATGTCTAGTCTTCTTCACTTCATAAAGGTCCATAACGAGCTGATTTGATTTCATGTATTCTAAAGGCACTGTGGGATGTTAACAAAACATTGGCATTTATTGCACTATTGTATGATAAGAATCATAAGATGCGTCTGAGACACATGAAGGCCATACGTATCATGCTATTAATACCCTTCGTGCTAGGCTTCTTCCTCATGTGGGAGCTCCCCAATCTCCCTCATGGGTTTCTACCAAGATGTGTTGTCCTTCCGGAAAATTTAGATATCTTATGAGAGTGTATATAGCATCCATAAGAAATTAAGAACGACATGAAATGTAATTCCAAATGGTTAAGTATTGGATTTTAAGTTTGGTACAAGTCAATATTTATGAGAAATTTCTAACGTCTTGAAAAGTAACATTCGGATAATTTTATAAATTCCGAGAAACTGTAAGATGACGGTTTAAGCTTTGGCTAGGCTGACTTGACTGGTTTTAGAATCTATAAACTTCTTTTGGTCAAGTTTCACAAATTTGCAAGTTAATCGTGTGTGTTCAGGGTTATATCGAAATATAAATTTTTAAGAAAAGAAGTAGTTAGACAGAATTAAGCCAGATACATGCATGGAGTGGATTAGACTTCTAATTGCATAGTTAATTGTCATGCACTTATAACCTAAGTACAGCCAAAACCACATTTACCACCTTGCACAGCTGCCGGCGCCGCCTATTCTTCTTATTTCATTTCCTCTTCAATTATGTGAGTTTCCTTTACAGTTTTAGTTTTTCTTATAACCTATTAGTTCATATATATGAATTCATGACTCTCTGATCATATATGTGGTCATGTGGAAGCAGATGAAGCATTAAAAATTCGCCAGAGAAGACCATTTTCGATTTTCTTCCCGGTAACACTTGTTGATCAAGTCACATTCATAACTTCCTATACCCTTCTAGATCATGCATGATAAAATGTTGTTTTAGGTGGAAAAGGGAATGAAGCTCTCAGAATCATAAAATAGTGTTACTGTGTTAGTGAACTCTGGTTATTGGTTTGATTGGTTTAACTAGAGAATTTACAAGGAGCTAGCTCTCAGGTTGCCAAAACTGGACCGGTCAACCTTGTTGACTCCTTTAACCAGTAAGTTAACCGATTTATGTATACTAATTTTAATCCGTGTGCAAATGATAAATGAGTGAATTAATTAGTGTTGGTGCAAGAAATTGGCCACAAAATTTAGTTAGTGACTATCTTTTAGCCACATAATGTATATTTTATCAAATAATATGTGACAAGAAATATTTTTAAAAATTGTTCAAAAAATAAATAAATTATTATGACTAATTAATGAATTCTAAAAATATTAATTAAATTTTATTATAACTGCACCATTCTATTTCACTGAAACTGGAGAGTTCATCTTTATGAAATCATTTTCTTTTTGAAGATTTAGCAAAAGATCTTGGTCTACATCAAGGAATTAGAAGATCAATTACTAGTTGCATGTGGGAGTGATTTTATTGAATTGACTCGATTTCACTATTTATATATTCTTTTTACGAAAGAGCTTTTTGACTCTCAAGTCTCAAATATTGTACCTTAAAGACAATTAAATAAATGTTAAGAGACTATCTTAGTGTTCCACTGGCAAATCAAACTTCAATGTCTTTAGCGACTAAATTAATTAATGTTACTGTTATACTACCTTCCTTTTTTCGTCGGCAACGCACCTCAATGTACTGTTATAACTTTGGACCGACCTAGATTTTTGAAACTGCTGATTACGCTCCTATAAGAATTTTCTCTCTATATAGTATATCTAACATTTGCTTGTTTTTTCGCCAAAACAATAAAAATGCTTATAGCTACTACGGTCTTTAAAAAAAAACCTTCAGAAACTGGAACGAATGTTTGGTGTAAATGTAATCCCCACTTTCAACATTTAATGTGGCAGCATTATGCTAGAACAGGTTTCAATTTGGCTCTCTAATGTCTAAATCATAACATTCTTCTTAGTTTGTCCGTTTTAATTTATATAAAGAAAAATGCTAGTTTAACATTCAGTTTAAACGACTACGAAACGCAAAATGAAAACAAACGCAACTTTCCAACTAACGTCAACCCAACCGACACAAGCCAACAGTGTCCACGACAATCCAACTTCTATTCACTAGCTCTCCTTTTCCCATCAAACTTTATCTTTTTATGTCTACCAATTAGAAAAAACTTATGGTACATGTTTACTTGCTTTTTTGTTACGCAGACATATCATACATATATAGCACATTTTTATATAAACAATCATGCTCATATCTAATTATTTTCCCGAATAATACAATCTATCTATGTATACCGACAGAGCCATGACAACTTAACCCTTGTACAAATAAGGCAAATGTCTTAAGCCCCACTCATTATGCATAAAATTAGAACCCGGATTTTTATTTTAGTTAGTGACATTGAATAAAATGAGCATTAAGATTTTTCATCATTATTAGTTTCATCTTTTTCATTCTATTATTGTACAATCAGATTTTTATATATATATAATAAGGTAAATTTAAAATCATCTATGACCCCTCAAAAGTCTAACCACGGCTCTATACCAATATCAAGTACTATATGACCGATCAAGAGAGAATGAGAATCGTATATACGTTATGCAAATCGATCGCGGGAGAGAACAAGAACCGTATGGGAAAGAGAGTCTCGATCTGTGTATTTATATAATATGTACATTAAGTGAGGAGAGAAAACAGATATATGAATCATGCCATTAAGAAATTTCTTCTTCGTTTCGACCTCGAGCATGAACATTCGATGTATGAACTCTCTGAACCAAAAAGAGAGTAATGAAATGGATTCATCATTGTTTGAGTTGCAAAGTGTGTGGGTGAGACTCCACAAGTATTGACCACAAAACTTGCACATCTTCGTATGGACATGACTTGACGTCCTCATATAAGATGTATATCCCTCTTCCTGCAAATTTTCCATCTTTCAACATTAACACAAAGAAATGCATATGTATATAAAACCAAAAAATACATATTTTATATATAGATATATGTTCATATATAGCAAACAAAAACTCATTTTCATTGTTTTCCATCAAAAAGAGTATATGATCCATAGAACCAAAAACAAAAGAGTATATGATCCACACACACACACATACATAATAGAGAAAGAGAGAGAGAGAGATCGTACTCTTCTTTTGAGCAGAATTGACGCTAAACCATAGTTTCTTCAAAGGAGAGAAGAAGGAATGGAGCCATCCCATTTCTTATACAATGCCTTAGGCTCTTGCAAATATGAAATATTAATTACACTATCTTTATATATATAGTAGATATAGACATATGTATATAAATAACATATAAGGACCCAACTCAAGAAGCCAACCAATGACGATGGCACGATGCTCCACCTTGGATAATAAGGAATGCAGGCAGCCACAT